CCTACTAGATGGGGATTTGTATGCAAAATCTCACTAAAAGCGCCATTTCGTTCTTATAAAAGCACGGATGACCGCGATTGGCCCATATGTTGTAGTCTTTTGGACGCTGAGTCGACTGGTTTTGGTCCGAAAAGGCTGCGATGCAGCGTTCCTCCTTTATTCCCAATCGAACATGGTTGAACAAGTGGTCACGTGCTCCTGCGTACACCAGTCACCTGGTCACCGTGCCTGCAGGGTACAACTTACTAGCCTGTTTGACCTTTTTTGGGTGCAGTCCTGTCACTCGAGTTGAACCTTGGTGTGAAAATTGTCGCCTGCTGGCGCGGTGACCAGGTGATTTGGGCAACCAGGACCACGTGACCGCTTGTTCAACCATGTTCGATTGGGAATAAAGGAGGAACGCTGCATCGCAGCCTTTTCGGACCAAAACCAGTCGACTCAGCGTCCAAAAGACTACAACATATGGGCCAATCGCGGTCATCCGTGCTTTTATAAGAACGAAATGGCGCTTTTAGTGAGATTTTGCATACAAATCCCCATCTAGTAGGGCGCAGTCACCCAGTTTCGGTGGAAGTGCGCGAGTTCGATTGGGATTCAAGTAGGAAGGGAGTGTCTCAGCTTCCTCGGACCAAGACCATTCGACTCAGCACCCCGAAGACTACAACTGGTGAAAATTTGATTTTAGGGTATACTTCCCCTTTAACTGGTTTGAGGGAAAGAGACAAACGGGAAAATATAATTATTAGTATGTTACGAGTTTCTAGAAAATACCACCTTGAACCTTAGACTAACTACTTGGGACCTACTGCATGCAGACTTGCAGTACTGGATGTCTGCGAAAATACTACAGAAAACGAAACTACGCTCTGCCATAGGCATTAATTATGTCATAGCACTTACGGTTCCTAATTACCACCACGGCATGATAATGACCATGTACTCGTGATGTATGTCGATGCGACGGCCCAAGCAGTGTCGCTGATCATGTACTACTGACTGTATACTCTAGTACACGGTCGCGTCGACGTCGGTAGACTCGGTACACCGACAACGACAATCGTCATTCGGACCTGCCTAGTCAGGGAGCCGACCTTCAAAAAAGTGGCGCTCCAGGTCGGGCGAGATGGAGTACAAGATCTCTTCAGCAATGGGTTATGGGTCTATCAGAGAAGGGCTTTCGAGTTCTTGGCCATCCCAAAGCTGTGCACGGACATCGCGAGGACGCATTTTGTTCGACGATCAAATTCACAATTGTCAAGCATTTAGGCGCAAATGTTTTTCGTTCTCAGCCGACTTCTCGGTTTGAGAAGTAGGTGCGCACGCTCAAAATTCCAAATCAGTGACTATGCGCCTGTCCAGAAGATGACGACGCTGCAAGCTTACTTTCTCAAAGCGTGACATACATTTTCATTACGATTTTGACTTTGAATGTGAGAATAGTATTGCCATCGTCAGGTCCACTAGTCACGAAGCATGGCGCTTCTGGACAAAAGCGCAACATAGAGTGTGTACCAGCAATAGTGCACAATAATACTCGCGCCTACTCCGGCAATTCTGCAACGCGTGCAAGCAAAGTTTCAAAAGTATATTTCCAGGTCTGACTGAGGTCGAGTCGAGCGAAGATTCCGGCAGAGTAGGCGAGATGTTGCTTGCTGACAAGTCGGCCTCCGCGTCCCTGAGTCCTGACTGCCAGTGCCACAGCCGTATGCACCAGTGACCAGTCACCGGACGTGCAAGATCATCATCACCCATGTCGGTACTCTGCCTGGCCTATTTATCTGCTGGTGGTGTCAACTCCGTTGCAGTTTGCCAGCTTGTTTGTTCCGGTACTCGTTCTTCACTGGTTCAGGTGAGCCTAGCTGCTTTTGCACAAAATACTTTGTGGATCCTGTGAGAGATCATGTAACTCGAAAACGAGACGTTGTTTGAAACAAAGGTAGAATGACAATCACTGCCAGTTCCACATGCACTTCTGACAGGAACTACGACAGACGTCTACGTGGCAGCACCAAAGGAGAGCATGGGATAGGCAACATCACAAGATAGAACATACATGCGCGCACGTACATGTGTGCGAGCTTGTGTACACGCGCGCACGCCCACACACGCTTGCAAGCGTGTACTCACATGTGTGCGAGTGTGCATGAGTGCACACACACGCACACACATGTGACTCTCTGTTCGCACACACACACACACACATACATGTGTGCGAACATGCGCGCATTCATCACACACGCGTGCGCACATACACACAGGTGGATGCGCACATGCCAATGCTCACACACACACACGCATACACGTGTACATGTGCACGCACACACACGCGTGCGCGCTTGCACGCACACACACTCGTGCGCGCTTGCACGCACATACACACAGGTGGATGCGCACATGCAAATGCTCACACACACATACACGCATACACATGTACATGTATATGTGCACGACACACGCGCGCGTGCACACACAGGTGGATGCGCGCACATGCATGTGTGCGAGCTTGTGTACACGCGCGCACGCCCACACACGCGCGCAAGCGTGTACTCACATGTGTGCATGAGTGCACACACACGCACACACACACACACACATGTGACTCTCTGTTCGCACACACACACATACATGTGTGCGAACATGCACGCATTCAACACACACGCGTGCGCACATACACACAGGTGGATGCGCACATGCCAATGCTCACACACACACACACACACACGCATACACGTGTACATGTGCACGCACACACACGCGTGCGCGCTTGCACGCACATACACACAGGTGGATGCGCACATGCAAATGCTCACACACACATACACGCATACACATGTACATGTGCACGACACACGCGTGCGCGCACACACAGGTGGATGCGCACATGCAAATGCTCACACACACACGCTCATACACGTGTACATGTGCACGACACACGCGCGCGCCCGCACACACACACATGGATGCGCACATGCCGATGCTCACATGCATACATACATATAAACACACACACTCATGCACGCGCGCGTCATTATCTACGAATCTCAGAAACATGCAACACGCGGCCAGAAGTTAATCATCACCAGTGAACTTGCTGTGATTGTGGTACCAACAACATGCTGTGCAAGAACGTCACCATCATCGGCTGCTCTGAGGTAGCATTCCAGAATGGCAATTTACAAAGCCGCTGTCTAGTGCCCTACTATCATCTCCACGGAGCAGCAGTCGGAACCCAGGAGATAACTGCTCTGCATAGCTGCAAACATCGCAAAGGTTACAGCACTGGATGCTTCTAGTGCAACGGGTCACCCCAACCCTGTACTATACTTGCTGGTGCATGTCCGAATGTGACAACCCAATCATTAGCGCCCATGTTCTGGACCGTCGCTAACGCTTCCGCCCAGGGCCTTATTACGGGCTTTTACGGTACTCGCCGATGCATGTCCGAATGTTGCAACCCGCTCAGCAGCACTACACATGTGAGCAACAAGTGGACGTCGTTGGCAGCACAGAGCAGAGGATCGCAAACCGGATGAAGAATGGATACTGTTCTCCATGATGAAGGGATCAAAAACCGTTCAACACAGATATTGCGCTACATCGTCTTGCCTGGATGTATGCGGTGCCGATGCATATCGCGTCCAAGACACTGTTTACATATCTGCATTCAGCCTTTGTTCACATAAATATGATGCACCGTAGCTGTAGTTTTAAAATGATTATATTCTACATGTTACCGCCACATTTACTGATTGCGTTTGCGGAAATTCCTAAAATTAATATACTACGTCTACTACTACTCAATTTACCACACAAAAGACTGAGTGAAGTAGGGAAATAATCATCCCATGATCTTCTACAATGTGAATGCTTCCACGTACGCGCATGTCATTGTGCAGCATCCGAAACTTCAACAAAACAATGATTCAAAGAGACGTTATTCAAGATAAGTCATGCATTTCTACGTTCACTGGTATAATCAAAGATTCCGTTCAAGGCAGCTGCCATGGTGTGTACCTTACCACCTTTAACACACGTTGTCAGTCCGCTCATTGACTAGCATGAAATCGTTTGTAGCAGGAGTACTCTTGTTTGTAGTGAGGATCAATCTACAAAACACTATTGGTAAAAACAATCAAGAGTCACCTCGATGGAGACGGACAGTTCCTACGAGACCTGCCTGTCGACATCAGGGTCAAGTGGCAAGTCATTTAGCCGTTACGCACGACAATCTCAGGAACACCAGTCATGTCCTCCGACGACGAACCAGCTACTGTATGTTTGTCTTCAGAACTCAGAACGACACAATTATACAAACAGAATGAAAAATGCTTCATCGACGGTGTGACTTTGCGTTTCGCTTCGTGTTTCTTTGTGTTTCTCTTGAAAATCTAGCAAAATTGAGTCATTCGCATGAAAATGTCTGGTTACGTCAGCGAAACCCGCTGATTTCCCCATTTTTCAAGCGCTGAATGGCGCAAAAACTGTGAAATCACGGCAACGAAATAGTGTTCGACGAGCGAACAAACCTCCTTGCACCGGCATTGCTGCACAGCTTCGGGACGGCCAAGTTCTCAAATCGTCCTCTAGAGACCCTTGCCTACCTCTGTGCGAAGTTTCAAGTCCTCCCTCTGAAGTGGCATACCCCGAAAATAAAAAGCATCCTACAGATTTCAGCTCCCGGACTAGCCGGGCAGCAGTACTTTTTTGGGCGCTCACAGACTAGTCACCTGCGCGGAGTGCGCGCTCACGAGCTGCAGCGGCGCGGGGGTACCGGGTGTATCATGTGGCAGCACAGGTTTCCATCCTGAATCAGTGAATGGGTGATGTACAATGACATGACAACAATGTTGTAGATCGACAACAAAATCAACATCATGTACAATGTCATGTACATGTATGTGGATGAGTGAGTGACTGAGCTCTGACTCTGAGCACGCGGTGCACCGGTGACTGGTGCCAGTGCAGTGCAGTGGTGTGGTGGTTGTTCCCAGACTCCCGCCCGTACTGCCGCAACTCCGTTTTCAGTTCGTGTTTGAGTTCGCGTTGCGGAGAGCTGTTTGGAGTTCCTTGGCATTGCGTTTCTCTCGTTCGTGTTCTGTATTTTCCTTACAACGCCGTCCCTATCTCGTAGCTCGTGTAGTTTGTATAAGTACACGTCTTTGTGGTTGCTCAATTTTCTGGGATTGGAGACGGTCGAGACTCAAGAGGTTGTCGAGTGGCCGGGTTGTTGCAGGAAGCCGGTGGAACCAGTCAGTCTAGACTCTACTGCTCGTCTCGGGACCAAATTAATCGGACGAAATCAGCGACACTGCTTGCAACCCAGCATCCTGGAAAGCCACTATCCGGCCATGAGAAGTATCTGATTGTTGGCTTCAGCAACGGTAGACAGGTAGAGACTCATCCGTTCTCGGCACCAGTTGACAGCGTTGGTCTGGTCGTTAGCGGACGGAAATGCGCAGCGCGCTTCACATATTTCTGGCGCTCTCGGTGTTCCTCCTCTCGACAGGGAAATGTCACGCACGAGTCGAGGCCGAGGGCGAAGGAGATGCCGAATCCGGTAAGCCGAGGTCTATGGTTATGCTATTGTTTTCTTTACGACCCTCTCTCTTTTCCTCTATTCCTCTTTGCCGATGTGCCCATGTCCGTGTGGGACAGGGACTTGATTTGTTGCCGACATACTTGTGTGCAGGTCTGAGGACTCGCACACGTAGAATCTACCGACAGTGTATTCGTAATGCCGAATGTTCTGTAGTGCGGCTTATCACATGTAGTACCGGTAGATGATCTACCCTGCGTTGCGAATACCTCAATCTGGCTCAGGTTCATGGTTCCACAATGTCATAATCATTATGTGAGCGGAGGAGTGAGGTCACCCTATAATACACTGCGCGTGTGCGATACGTAGTAGTTTGCAGTTTCGTCTCGTAATGTAGGTCTCTACCCTCCCATTCCCAAGGAAGCTGTCCATGTTTTACTAGTATTTCTCCCAGTCCTGTCTGAGTGTCTCGCTTGACCATCATGGTACCAGGGAGTATTGTACTACTCCCTGATGGTAACGATGCATTGCTGGAAGTGGGAGTGCAAGACAAGTCGGACTCGGAGACGGAGGGTAGAGGGGGTGCCGACCTGACACATCTCTCTGTCTGTAGCCTCGGACTCTCCCCTATCTACATGACAGACTACAAAATTAATAAAGTATTACTTTGTTGCATTCCTACGAAAACCGGGAGAAAAGCATCCCCAGTCAGCCTCTACTAGCTCTAGCCTAAACTAGGCAAAAGCTGCACAACTCGTAGGCTGTTCTATGATCAATGCGTTGACGATGTTTATGTTGCAGTGCAATGCCTCTACATTATAAAGATGATAATTCCTGGGCATGTACCAATGTCACTATGAATGGTTGCTATTCCACACCTAACCCCCTGTAGGGTTGATTCTCAAGCAAAGACATAAATTGTCATAAGGCCAAAACAAAAAATAGGCTTGTTTCCGGTCGGCAACCCCTCGAAAAGGAGACTCGGTCGGCCGGAATGAAACTTTTTTTGGATATTTTATTTTGGTTCCTCAATTGTTGTGGTATTGATGGACAAGAGCACCTACACATGTACATTGTACATATATCACGGCAAGGATCAATGTCAAAGTAGGTTGACTGCGTACTGACTCACTGTTCTTGTACAGCATGTGGTGTATTCCTGTTTTTGTACATCCTGAGAAATCAAGCAAACAGTTCGAGTCCTTCCAGCTCCGTTATTCTAGCTCGTATCGACCCCGGAGGTTTTCGAGCCGACAGCTGAGAATCTTTGCTACCTAGTAGGTGTTTTGATTGTGGAATTCGGTTGAGATTTGACTGAGTTATGACTCGTTGAGTGCACTTGCTCACATGGCATTGCCACCGTTTGTATACATTTGGCACCAAAAAAAAGTTTCAGAATTTGGGAAAAAGTGGCCCGGTCGGGCGACCGGAAACAAGGTCATTATTTGTTTGGGCCTAATGTTTGATCAGCCCGTTATGGGGGAAGCATAGATTGACTGTAGTCTGGGGTGGTCTTTGCAAGTACCTGTGACAGTCAGTACTAACACTGCATGCTAAGTTGTATGCTAAGCCATGTGCAATTTGGGAACTTGTTGTTTTCGATTGTGATGGTTTGGGCTTGGGCATGTGTGCGTATAGCTGTGTCTAATCGTCTAATCAAAGACATGGTGGCATTTGTACTTGGTCCGCCAAGTCACAATCGGCGCCTATCTTCGCACTTGATTTTTTGGTGTTCTGCCTGCGTCATACCGCATGGAACCATCAATTCACCATCCGAACATAACCATAAACCATTGCATCCGACAACATGGCAGCACACACCATCAAAGAATTTACGATCGGTTCGTTTGAATCTTTTTGACTGGAGCTGCCACCGTACCGACGAACACTTCCGTCAGCGCAATAAAACGCTGCAACCTCCGCTCCAGTCCGTAAAATAGGTCGGGATGTTCGCACTTCAGAGTGATGGCGAATACAGTTTTTGCCTACTTCCAACTGTCTGGCGGCAAGGATGGTTTTCCGCTGGGAGGTATAGAAAAGCTGAAAAAGCACTTCGCGAGCTTGTATTAAGTGCTCGCAGAGTACAGCGCCTAGTGAAGAGTTGTCACCAGCAAATCGCTGACGAAGAAACTACAGCTCATGTCGACATCTCCATAAGCGAGACCAATCTGGCGGACACACTCTGAAGCTCACAGAGGACCTGGCAAAGGAGCTGATCAAAATCAGCTTCTGAGCTGATCAAAATAAACACCAAGTCCGGAAGGGAAACTCTCATGCAAACGCCTTGCAGAAAAGAGCTACGCCTGCTCTAGAGTCCGTGCGATACTGGTGCAAGGCTACGTCTGCTCCAGAGTGCAGTACTCACAGGTGCTACGTCAAGCGGAAGCTATTACTGTGCTCCAAGCACCAGCGGCTCGCGTGGGTGCTGATCAGCGAGTACGACAAGCGCAAGAGGCGATTTGAAAAAAAGGACAGTGATGTGGTGTTGCCTTTTTGCCTCAAACAAAGGCATTATTGCGACGAACTGGGATAACACATACAGCCACCACACGGGCAGTCTCACTCAGCTTCTGAGCGGCAAGATGACAGGCTCGACAGGTCACTGCCTTTGAGCGTGATTCGAGACGAGAAGAAGTGGAACAAGGTATGAAACATGCAGCAGCTGTCCGGATCGAATGTTTTAAGCTCTTTCTCCAGCGATGATAGTGGCGAGGAGGACGTGTAACTTGCTTGTAATTTCAGCTGAGTTGCGTACTGGCATGCACCGAGATTCTGTGGCTGAGTAAACTCGGCAGAGGTTCACTAAACCTACACTATGAAAATGTTACTTGAAAAGCTGCAGAAGTGGGAGAAAAAGTGATTTTTTTCTTTTTGAAAGCGGCGAAAACGTAAATTCGCATTGAAGGTCGGCACCCAGCGTATGCTTTGTACCTGCTTTGTACAACATGCGCCATGACTCGTGTGTCCTGAAAAAGGCGACGTCAACAAAACGTTCCTCTGTGGACCAGACCAGCCGCGGAGTTACACAGTCTTGTTTATGTACCGGATTTTACCGGTTAGAAGTCGACATTTACGACTAAAAATCGAAGGAGAAAAGGTTGGGTTCGGCTCACAACCGGGAACTACCGTCAGCTTCCGAAAATGACCTGCACTGCATGCACGAGTGCGCCGTGTGTACGCATTTTTGCCAGTGTATTTGCCTTTTTCCAGGATTTGGACATTTCACTCTCCAATGAGGAGTGTTTATGTGATTTGTTCATGTATTAGTAGCAGGAGGTGGTTAGCAGTGCTTCTTTGCGTGAAACTTAAAAAAAAACCCACTGAAATAAGACCTTTGGATACGGGGGGGGGGGGGGGGGGGACTTATAACCGCCGGGTAAAATACGGTACTCTTGACTACGTGCATTGACCAGTCATCTACTAGGGAAGTCCCTGATAATCCGCATTCTTTTTCTTACCTTGTGAAAGAGCAGACTGACCAAGCATGGAAGAGAGAGAGAGAGAGAGAGAGAGAGAGAGAGAGAGAGAGAGAGAGAGAGAGAGAGAGAGAGAGAGAGAGAGAGATGAATAGGAGGAGAGAGAGATAGAGAGAGGAGAGAGGAAGAGAGAGAGAAAGAGAGAGAGAGAAGAGAGAGAGAGAGAGATGAGAGAGAGAGAGAAGAGAGAGAAAGAGAAGAGAGATAGAGAGAGAAGAGAAGAGAGAGAGAGAGAGAGAGAGAGAGAGAGAGGAGAGAGAGAGAGAGAGAGAGAGAGAGAGAGAGAGAGAGAGAGAGAGAGAAGAGAGAGGGGAGAGAGAGAGAGAGAGAGAGAGAGAGAGAGAGAGAGAGGAGAGAGAGAGAGAGAGAGAGAGAGAGAGAGAGAGAGAGGAGGGAGAGAGAGAGAGAGAGAGAGGAAGAGGGGGGGGGGGGGTAGGGGGTACATTGTTTGGGTACGTTGTATGGTTGTAGCTGCTACAATGCTAGTGTCGAAGAGAGGTCAATGAGATTCCCTTCGGACATGTAGAAAATACCGTGTATTATGTGTACACAATGTGCATTCAGTTCTTGCACCCTATTTGTTGAAAAAGAGGAGCACAGTATACTGCGGAATGTTGCAATGTCAGGGGCGTCGCACACGGTACGGTCACTACGGCATTGACCGTACCACTATTTGCCCCAAGTACCCCGTGAATCAATAAAATGCACTGATTTGGGCTGTCAATTTCCAAAATTTTCGGCTGAGCCACCCCTCCCCCACGAGTTAAATTGTACTTCAGATGGCTGACCGTACCACACAAAATTACCTTCCGACGCCCCTGAATGTGTTACAGAATGTATAAGTAGTCTGTACTCAGTGGAGGGTTGTGGTTGTAACTGTGGATTGTGTCAACTGCCCGGTACTAGCTGTCAGAAGTTGTTAACCACTTTAGGTGGTTTTATTTGTAAAGTTGACAGTGCTACACCTTTTGGTGTGTCCTTTTATATCTTACCTATGTGTGTGTGTGTGTGTGTGTGTGTGTGTGTGTGTGTGTGTGTGTGTGTGTGTGTGTGTGTCCGTCCTTATGTACCTGTGTGTCCTTATGTACCTGTGTGTGCTATCTATACTGGATTGGCTCTCGTTGCCATGGTGAAGGAGCGGGAAATACGACTAGTAAGTGTTGTGCGGTCTTAGTATGAATACACCTATTACACATGCGTGCGTGTGTGTCCGGGCACACATGTGTATTTGTGTGTCTGGGGAGGGGTGGGTGCGTGTGTGGAGTAATAAATTATGAAATACTTGAAATATATAGTACATTCGCATTCTTGTCTCCAAGGAAATTGTTACTAGAAATATTTACCTAATTTCCTACCTAAACTTGAATCAGTGTTGCTCCCAAAGTTTGTACTATCTCTCCACACAAGTATAGTAAAACCTTCCCCAGCTGGACGCCCTCGGTGCAGCGGAGACTGTCATGATATGACAGGATTCTGCTTGATCCAGGGATGTACGTTGGGCCCCAGGACTTTGGTGCATGAAAAATGTGTCCAGTCAATACATGATTCCGCTGTACGTGTATTTGCAACGTTTTGTTCGTGTATGTGTATGTGCGTATGTTGACTGATATGAAGTGCATGTATCAGTATGTGTGTGCTGATGGTGCTATTAGGTGTGTTGAAACTGCAGGAGAAGAACATTTTTCTTTCATTTAACATTCGCGTGCTCCGCTGCTGAAAAGAAATTGGGCCATTGATCGAGTTTGGTAAAGTTTACAGGGATTGAAAAGAGAAACTCGGTGGAAGTGTCTCTGGAGGCATCTGTACTTTGTACGTCACTGTAGCTGCTGCTGCTACCAGCTGTATTCTCAGCTGTGAACATTCCCTTGGGTGAATGAGGTGAAGAATGGTGTTGGTATGCATTGGTATGTGCACTGAGGTTGTGTGAGGTGCTGTGGATAGGTGATGGCTGTAGGAGGGACTAGTTGCCTCACTGATCACCAACCTGTCCGTGTCATGCGCCTTGTTGCACTAGTGGCATTAGCCAGACCCGGGTTTGACCGTGTACTGACCATGTAGTCCTGCACCCAAATGCTATCCCGCACTGTACTGGCTCAGTGAATACTGAACTGGCTTATACACCAGGTTGCTTGTGGGCAGCCGCATTGTGCAAGTGTGCATGGTCAGAGCCCGGTGAGTCGGGGAATGCGTACCCATGCTATGGTACGCAACAGGTAACTTACTGTCCAATAGCTTGTGCCAAGTTGTGGCATTTGAAGTGAACATGTTGATAGTGCGGTCTGTGATGAGAGACTGTGTGTCTAAATGAAACAAGAAAACTACCCCGGCCTCCCGGCAGTATGCTTGTCCAGCAGGTCTGCTTTCTAAAAGGTTTCCAGCACCTCCTGCAAACATGTTCGTGTGTGCTCTTTCACACATTCCCAAGTAGGTAGGAGGAGAAAGGAAGTGATTTACTTGTACCGGTATTACACACTGGCATCACGACTTTGTTTCAGTGTTGGAGCACTGACCAGTGGCCTTCTGCCAAAGTGAACAATTGCCTCGGCTGGGTCTTTAGTTAGCTAGATTGTTGCAAGGTGCATAGATGGACATTTTTATGATCACTGCTTGCATATGTGACAGGACATAGTCATTTTAAGCATTGGCAGCAGAGTTGCAGAGGCAGGTTGAATGTGTGCAGGACTATGGACTATGGTATAGCTTGTACAGGGTGGGTAGAAGCACAGCGTCACTGGGCCATGACATAGCCTTTACCAGGATACATGCTGATGATGGGTGGGGTGTTATTTCAGCTCATCAATGATCAAGTCGCTTGAGTCCTGGACTGAACTGGAATGTATATGTACAGCAAGGCCAAGGTTTTCCTTGCACTGCAGGTGCCGGCTATCACGGAGCTGAGCATGGGTAACAACATGCCGACAGGAACTGTACGCTATTGTGTGCACAGTAGAGTTGCTACAGCTGTACTTGACAATTGCTTCAAAAGTGTTCTCTCCGCTGTCATTGAGGAGGTTATAAACAATGAGCCATGATTTTCTCTCCCCTTGCCTGGGGGTACATGCGGGTATTGGGCATAGGGTACTGACGAGTAGAAGATATCTCATGCAGCGTGATCAATGTGTGATCATCCTGCGGCTTAAAGGATATCATAGGTCACCCCCCTGTCACAGTAGTGATAGCATTTACTGTTCTGGTAAGTATAGAGCCGTAGTCACCTGGGCTCCCACAAACTGCCAAATCTACCAGTGATGTTATCCACTGTGTACCGACTGTTGCCAAGCTCAACCCCCTCCCCTTCACCCCCGTCTCACCTCCCCAACTGTGTTGCATATACTAGTGAGACGAAGATAACGGTCACTTTTAGCCCATGTCAGACACTGCTCAGCAAAATACTCTAAACACACCCATCACGTCGTGTCAGCTTATCATGCTGATTTAGCAAAGGACAGCATTGCAGGCTCAAGTCGAGTTTTTGAATCGCATCACTGGAGGATAGTAGATGGTTCGTTGGTATTTCAGTGAATAGAAATTGTTCTTGGAAATTGTAGTCTGCTACGTAGCCCTTGAAAAGGTCAAGGACTAAGGAGTAAGGTAAAAATCGGTAAGTTTTTACAAAATCTGGACAGGTTTTGTGTTGCCAATGTACGGGGTGGCAGATCCAAAACTCTCTTCTGGCTGATTAAAATCACAGGTTTCCAAGTCTCTGCACCACTTGTTGGCTGTACATATGCTGTGGTGTTGTGTGATGTTGTGTTGCAGGTAGTGGCAGTGGTGACGCACCTACACCACCTACTCCCACCTCACCGCCGCTGCAATGCGATGACACAGACTATTACGATTCGGACAACACGTCGTGTCAGCCGTGTTTGTGCTCCGATGCCGGCTCCCTGTTCCCTTCCGACATGCCCATGACGATGCAACAGCGACTCTGTGACCTGGTCTCCGGTGCATGCATGTGCAAGATGTACTCGACTGGTCGACGATGTGACATGTGCCAAGCTGGCTTCTTTGTCCCGGAATCCTCCATTGCGTACACCAGTCGCTGTCGACGGGCGTGTGAGTTCAACTTGGATTTAAACTGCCAAGGTAAGTACAGCCATATTGGTAGGTAAGCTGCGTACAAAGTTGCGATGTATTATCATGATGATGAGTTTCTGCTGGATGCCGGGATGGGAATACAATTCAAAGACCTTGAGCAATTGTGGTGAGAAGCCTCACGTGTTGCAAAGACAATGTTATGCTCTATGTTTGCACAAACAAGTCACATAGAATGTGCACGGGGCGGGGGGAGAGGGTCGTCCCAAGTGATATACATTCATGTAACGCTGTTATAAGTTTGTGAAAAGATGAGCGTTTGTTGTCATTAGAGAGGTTCCGCACCACGTAAAGTTGAGCAACTTTACGTTAGTGGGCGGGGAAAACCCGTGAATTCGCGAGTTTGCACTCCACTTACGGAAAGTTGTCTACGTAGAGTACGTAGTGAGGGCTCTGATAACGTAGCTGGTCCGTAAGTGGATTGGGGTACAAATTTATGACTCTCTCCCCAGATCGATCTGGTCGTACACTGCCGCGTTTGGAGTTGCCAAGGGCAGCTACGTGATTTGAAAACTCCGTATGGCGGAACACAGATGCACATGCAGTTTACGTAAGACTTTCCGTAGATCGACTACGTTTTTTACTAACGTAATTACGTTATGCGGAACCTCTCTATTATCTCCTTGTTCATGTAATTGCTTCTGTTGTTACTGTTGTTGCTGTTGCTGTGCAGCATGTCGTTGCTCATCAGTGGGTACTGCTAACCCAATGGAGTGTAGTGAGAGTGGACATTGCCAGTGTTTGACCAACTATCTGGGTGCACTGTGCAGTGACTGTGCCGATAACCACATCTACCTGAGCAACTCCGGTCACTGTGTTGCACGTAAGTTAATCGGTTATCAGGGGCCGCGTAGTCAGGATAGTGATCAAGGGGGGGGGGGGGGGTGTTGCCACGACTTTCCCCGCACAAAAGTACATGCACTCAAGAGGGGGGGGGGGGGGGGGCAAAATTAGCCCCATTGACGCTGAAAAGCAATCAGTGATCAATGAATGGCAAACCTCCGACCAGGTACTGTATAAGCAGAAATATTCGTCTGGAATTTAATTTCGTCTTTTTCGTCCAAGGAGCTTTTGGACTAAATTAAATGCCGGACTAATGTCGATTTGTCCAGCTTTTTAATACACTCCTATGATCCATGGACAGAATTTACAACCGTGACCGGACAAACTCCCTTTCCTTGGAGTTGGACGAAATTATTGACCGACGAAATTTTCTGCCTGTACAGTTGTAAATATTGCGACAGAGCTTTCGGCCATATTTTCAATTCATTGCATTCCCAACTCATCACAAAACTTTTGTGATGAGTTGGGAATGCAATGAATTGTACAGTTGTAGTAATATTTACTACTCCCTGCTTCCAACTAATGATGAGCTTAGCCCTGGATGCTGCTTTCTCCAGAATAATCACGCTCTCCCTCGAGCTTTTAAAAAAGTGAGATTTCTCAACCCTTTTTCTCTTCGGCATATTTGATAGTGCAGTAAGGCATCCTTGATCAAATGTGCCCCATATTTCCCACAGAAACCGCAAACTCCACCTCAACTTTGCTTTCACTGTTCGGCTGCTGTACCAGCACTTGAAACACATGAAGGAATTCTTTTTAGTTTTCCACAACCTCCATTTCATCTTGGGATTTTGAAGCATTGGAATATGGGCTATTTCGGCGCGCCGTTGTCGACGATGTGCTGCTGCGCGTTAGGTGACCGATGAGGAGTCGCATTGTCCAACTGCAGTTCCCAGTTGTTGCCGAAGAACACGCCGGCCAATGGAACGATTGACTGCTCCATTCCGGCAGAAAATGTGTTCGCGTTCTGTTAGATTACAGACACCTAACCACAAGTTGCACCAGCTCACGAAACATGGGGACCGAGATTCACTTTACTTGTTACGGTGGTATCAACACTAAAGAATCTGTGAAGACTGTATTCTGCTGACTGACGCTACACTGTAATATCCATATACACATATAACGACAGCGCGACAAACTCATAACAAACCGAGCATAACACACTCGTGATAACGCTCGTAATAACACTGACCTAGACTAAGAAAGATGGATCCTAATATCCCCGCAAGATCGGGACGTTGTGCCACTCTCAGAAGCCAGCACTAGCCTAAGTCTACAATAGAGTAAGAGGTGAGAGCTGTCGTGCCTGCAGCGGAACAGCCAGTGAATAGAGAGTCCTGAGGAGTCGGTAGAGCATGAGACTCTTAATCTCAGGGTCGTGGGTTCGAGCCCCACGCTGGGCGCCAAATGTCGTCACGGGTTTGGAACCGTGAACGAACTGCCTCTACGCTCCTCGCCACGCCACACAACAAAAGACCAGTACAAATTGTTAGAGAGCTTTTTCTTCTACTTCATTTCAGTAGGCGACTGGGGAACTCATAAAGAAGAACCAACAGACAACGAACGACTGACGACTGACACTGAGACAAGACGAGACAACAGAATATATTATAGTGAAGGCGTACACCGGGGACACGACGAGCAAGTGTGTACCAACGGGGACAGAAGACGGTGCAGCCGCATGTACGCAGGAGTCGAAAACAGCGCAGCAGCATGTACCACGACTCGGCAGCATGTACAACAAAGAGACACAAGCGCAGCCACATGTACAACACAACCATGAACAATACATAAAACCAGACACCATACATTATGAAACAAAGCTGGCTCCACAAGCTCAATGGTCTGTGAACTTTCAATTCCACACGTTCCATGTGTTGGCATACGCCAGGTCGCCCACTGTCCCAAACAAAGACACAGCGCCGAGGACGTGCACCTTCGCCGGATGTTGTGACTGCTCAACAACAGGCACAGAATCGCGAGGAAACCAGAACATGATTCGATCGTCGGGGCCGGCAGCGAAGCAAGCTTCGTCGGCGAATACCGTCCTGTCAAAGTCGTGGTCTTGTTGGACGATTGCCCACGCAAGACGGTGGAGCTTGTGTGCCTCTGTGAGGACGAATTTCCTATGCGGACGGCTAAAGCGATGGGTTTCTGATAGGCGGCGTCTCACCTGCCTAGCACCTACTGATTCGCCTGCTGGACCTACATTAGCCAAGTCGGCTGCTGCTTTCTCGCTGCTGGAATAGCGGTTGTTTTCAACAAATTGCTGGACGTGCTCAAGTCCGTCAGGGCCTAGTGTGGGCTGAGCGCCACTTCCCGCTTTCCTCTTCATTGCAACACCAGCCTCGACCTTCTCGATAGTATCGTTTACCTGAACAATGCAACATAGAGAAATGCATATTCGAGTAAATGTCGTTCTCTTTCTGCTCGTATCTCCATTGCTTTGATATTTCTCTTTCTGCTCGTATCTCCATTGCTTTGATATTTTGCTGGCTTACCTGGGTTTTCTTATAAAGTTATACTTATAGCCGGTCAAGTCGCGAATGTGCCTGCTTCTCAGCCCAGATCGGTAGAGCGCCTCTGTGTGCTCTCTTCTGCGTAGTTCCTCCACAGCGAAATACTGGTGGTTGGGGACAGCCATCGTCTGTCTCAGATTACACTATGCATGCTTCTTTGCAAACCTCTCCTTGCAATGGTGCACACGTGGTGGTGAAGTTCACTGTTCTCTTTGGGGGGATTCCGCAAAGATTAGCCATTGGCAAGTGCTGTTGTCTTTAGTGCCAAAGGTAGCCATTGGCTGGTGCTGTATTCTTTAGTGCGAAAGCCATCCACTTGTTGGAAACGCTTCGCACGTCTTCGACCTAGTCGTTGGAATCGACTTCCAATATAGTCATGTCAAAAATACCAAAAACGGGATGCCCGGCCCTGCACCATTCGTTCACGGATGTTTGTATTGGATCAACATGACTGTGCACTGCATGGTAGTGCACGCAACACTCTGTACGCGCTGAGGGCGCCGGCCCCGGTCAATCGACCGGATTTCCATGTCCACGACAGTACGTGCATGCGCTGCCATAATGCCTCAGTGTGCAAGGAAGCAGAGTCGCACGCCTTGGCTTGCGGCATGATGTGCAAACACACATACACGTATCGTGTGTTACTGAAACAAACACCTTTCTCACCATTTAACCTCTTTTCTTGATGCCTGTTTTGATGCTCACTATTTGTTTGCCCAGCTGCTGGATTTTTCATTCCGTTTGGTGCTGCACATGGTGACAAAGTACGTCAGCCATCGCTAGAAGTGCAGAAGATCACAATATCTCTTCCGTCAGTTTTTCCCGTCGGGGAAAGCGTCTTTGCTCGTCTTATTGTAAGTTTCAGCAATGTGAACCGTGTGCTGCCCAAGTATCGTCAGCGTTGTGGAGCATTGACTTTAGCCACAAGTCTTTTTTGAAGTAAATAGTTTGTGTTTTCCCATGTGCATCATACGGATCACCAAGCATGGCTTAGTGATTGTAAATAGGAAATTAATGTTGTAAATCCGGGTGTGTACACTCTCCGTTATGGATATCACCGTCCCCATATGTATGCTGTCCACCTATCACGGAAGTACTTATCATTCCACCAATGAAGGCATTCATGCCATTCAACCAATGCCAAAAACCCTGTTTGTCTGTGTTGTATTTTCTCCAAGATTTCATCGGACGGGTTTGTCTCAACTGCTGAATCGTTTAGCAGTGATGCGTCGGTTGTGTTTGCTCCATTCTACCTCAATGACGGCACTGCCCGCACTGGTAATGTTTCATATCAAATTCATACGTCTGCGGACACCCTGGGCCGAGTCAACTCCACTCTGCAGCAGAGCGGCTCCGTGGCGGAAGCAGTGCTGGCTGGTTTCAACCCTAGATACGCACTGGTTGTGACCTGGAGTAAAGTCCAGCCTGTCCGTGATGCTGCAGTTGAACTTGTAAGTACATGTACTACTCGTCTCCATGCGGTATGCTGTTTGTTGTGACAAGGTCAATGATTACGTATTGCAGTGAAACTTCAGTAAACAATACCGTGGACACTGGATATAACATACTCTTCTCGTTGCATGGGAAACTAATAATAGTTGAAATCACCTATTGTGAAGATCCTGCATATCCTTTGCCATGCAATCATCTGACATCGAATATAGAGTACCTCGGCTATCGAGTACTGATACGGTATAGTACCTGAACTGCTGTACACAGTACACGTGGAGCCCTCGCTGCCCAGTAACGCATAGTTACCAGGACCAGGGACAACAGCGATGTTGTGTTGACGTCTTTAATTATTGAGTCACTATCAGCATGATTTTTATGGTCGCATGCAGCTGTGCACAGCCACAGTCCCATACCTCTGCAACACGTATAACCCATTGACTGCCTTGTTGCTATGTCTACTTCCCGTGTGCTGTGCTTGCAGACGAACTCATACCAGCTTGTCCTAACAACTGATGGATGTGTGGGATTTGCAGTTTTCAACTACATGAACGGATCGACGGCTGTTGGACAAGGACAAATGCCCTGGCTCATTGTACGCAACGGTCCTCAGCTACTATGGCGGGCTACGCCCGAGTCTGTTCAACATGGTGGATATCGTGTTGTCATGGTAACCGATGCCTGCGCAATAGACTCCGACGCACAGCAGTGCGCTGATCAAGCGGGAAGACTCGAAGCCATCACCACGCCAACGGGTATTGCTTGCCCGTTGTCCAGGCGACACGCACAGATAGACTCCAGCTTTGCAGTGCTGGAGAGTTTCTCATCGGACTGTTACACGAATGTGTTCCCTGGGAATCTGGTGAGGCAATCACTCATGACGGTTCCGACTAGTGATCAGCTTTACTCACATGACCACTGCAGCGATAGGTTTTTCTTCTTTTCTTTTTTTTTTAGTTTTCCGAGTCAACAAGCCTCTTGTACGGCTAAAAATACCATGATGATCAATGAATGGAAAATACCATGTGCAATAAAACGATGAAAATATGAAGAAATGGCGTAGGGAAAAAATATGGATTCAAACAAGTTTTCGTACAACACTCATCAGGAATCGTCGTTGTACTAAAGGACACTGAAACAAAAATTGAACTATTATAGAAAATCTAAGTTAGAGAAATAACACTAAGAGCAACAACAGTGAAATTTACAAGTGTGAATTTTAACAATCAAAGCGAGAAATGAACAAAGGAGAAAGGAAGGAAAGACAATGTGATAACACATAACAGCAGTACATTACACCTAGAACATTAACGGCCAAGCTTGGCCGCACTAAACACGACACGTTACTTAAACAATTTCAACCCAATTATACTATCTTTCTGTACACACAAATTAGGCGTGTACAGACGCTGATAGATAGCTTCCAACACTTTTAACTGTAGTCCATAACCATGACGACCACGGCACAATACAGTGAACGAAGAGTCGGAATACGAATTGCAACAATCAGGACTAGCTAGCAGATGATTGTACACTGAAGACTTGCTACCACGGAACCTATGCACAACACTAACACTCTCACCGGCACTCTCACCATCACTCCCATCACTGCTCTCCGACTCACTGCTCCCTCCACCGTCCGTTCCATCCTCCGCTTCCTTTGTACTCTCTCTGTCTCGTCCATCCCGCCTGACCGGGTCCATTGAACTCAACTCGGCCGTCACCCTGCTATCACGTCCCTCCTTTCGCCCTTGTCCGCTGAGTGCGTAGCTTCTGTTGTAGTTGGCTGTTGATCGTCTTGGTCTTTCAATTATGGGCTTGGATGGTGGATTAGTTGTGGTTGCTGTAGATTGCGTTGTTGGTGTTGGTGTGGGAGCTACTGATATGCAAGGTGGGTCTTTTTGAGTCGGCATTTGTAGTGTTAATGCAGCTGTCAGTGTTGCTCGCGGTCTGCCACTGGCAAGCTCCACCGCCGCAAGAACCGATGGCGGGGGATCAGGAGGAGGCAGTGGGACCGGGACCGCAAGCGGCACCGCCTCAGCCAAAGCCGACGATTCCTGATGAGTGTTGTACGAAAACTTGTTTGAATCCATATTTTTTCCCTACACCATTTCTTCATATTTTCATCGTTTTATTGCACATCGTCTCCACCGTTTTTACATTGCAGGAAAATACCATGATGATCAATGAATGGAAAAATGCAACTAAATCCCAAAACAATGAAAAAACTCAAAGCAAATGAAAAGAACTCGAAGCTAAGGAAAAGAACACGACCAGCCGTGGCACACGGAGCACACGAAAGGCACCAGCATGAATAAGTAAATCGGCTTCTCAAAGAACGTAGCGGTGAAATCCATGAATTTAAACCGGAACTTGGGCCTCCGAAACAGCCAGTGCAGCAGACGAATCACCAGCCTCCAGAACTACGAGACGTCCAAACAGGTTCCTGCAGCTTCGGGGACACATAATGCAAAACAATGCTGTACGCGGATTGAGTAATACAAGACCTAAGTAGCGAGAAAGACAACTTACATCCAACATAGGCCATGACGTGACAATACTGCTCGGACTTCTTAGCTTCTTGTAGTGATAGTACAGTGCACTGACTGCCAGTATAGTCACTTGACTGTCATGACTGAATGCACATTGCACTCTACTGCCACTGCAGGTCTGATTTCAATACATGATTGCTGTGCCTAGGGTACGGGGTGGGACTAATCTATTGCCTCACGCTAGCCCTTTGTGTTTGTTTTCTGCCCACGCCGGTGATGCTGCAGGTGTGTTGTTACGATGGTGCAGGGTCGTTCTTAACCAGTGGAGCAATGGCTAGCTTTGCCACCGCCTCACACCCGCTGACAGAGGCCGCGGCTTTCAACACGTCAGAGTGGGCTATACGCACTCTGTGCTGTGCAGCCGGGTACTGTGACCTGTTCTATGCCAAGCGGCCCATCTTGGAGAACGTGGCCAGTCAGGTGCAAGCAGAGGAATCTGGCGAGACACCAGCAGCAGTACTTTCCGTACAACTCCGATCATGTATGTAGTACTAGGCGTGAGCCGGCTTGTCATGTTCAAACAAGCTACAAACCACACCCAGAGCTAGTAGCAGTTTTAAATCGGCATGTTGTGTGTACTTCGAAGAAGTATTGAGATCTGGATCAAGAAAATGAATTGAACTCACTTGTTCAAAAGAAACAGCTACTGAATATCTTCACACGGAAAACAGAATACACCCAGCTTGTTCAACGTACGCCTGTTTGAAGTGTTTCGTTTTGTCTCGATGTGGTGATTTGTATTCCTTTCACAAATACCCTTGCTATACCCTTGCCCTTCCCTTGTTCTTGCCGGCTTACCCATTCAGTCAGCCTGTGTTTGACATACAAGGTGTAGTAGATGGGCATCAGTAGGTACTAGAAGTACTTTAGAAAATACCCATGCAAACCATGAGCCATGGGAACTGTTTACTGTAAAAGCCATATATATAACGAAGTGCTAACTCTAACGAGTTAACGAGGAGAAATCTGTCGTTAAAGGGGAAGTATACCCTAAAATCAAATGTTCACCAGTTGTAGTCTTCGGGGTGCTGAGTCGAATGGTCTTGGTCCGAGGAAGCTGAGACGCTCCCTTCCTACTTGAATCCCAATCGAACTCGCGCACTTCCACCGAAACTGGGTGACTGCGCCCTACTAGATGGGGATTTGTATGCAAAATGTCACTAAAAGCGCCATTTCGTTCTTATAAAAGCATGGATGACCGCGATTGGCCCATATGTTGTAGTCTTTTGGACGCTGAGTCGACTGGTTTTGGTCCGAAAAGGCTGCAATGCAGCGTTCCTCCTTTATTCCCAATCGAACATGGTTGAACAAGCGGTCACGTGCTCCTGCGTACACCAGTCACCTGGTCACCGTGCCTGCAGGGTACAACTTACTAGCCTGTTTGACCTTTTTTGGGTGCAGTCCTGTCACTCGAGTTGAACTCGAGTTGAACCTTGGTGTGAAAGTTGTCGCCTGCTGGCGCGGTGACCAGGTGATTTGGGCACCCAGGAGCACGTGACCACTTGTTCAACCACGTTCGATTGGGAATAAAGGAGGAACGCTGCATCGCAGCCTTTTCGGACCAAAACCAGTCGACTCAGCGTCCAAAAGACTACAACATATGGGCCAATCGCGGTCACCCGTGCTTTTATAAGAACGAAATGGCGCTTTTAGTGACATTTTGCATACAAATCCCCATCTATTAGGGCGCAGTCACCCAGTTTCGGTGGAAGTGCGCGAGTTCGATTGGGATTCAAGTAGGAAGGGAGCGTCGCAGCTTCCTCGGACCAAGACCATTCGACTCAGCACCCAGAAGACTACAACTGGTGAAAATTTGATTTTAGGGTATACTTCCCCTTTAAAATAGAAATCGTTGTACAGAAATCGATACATGAGCCGCAGCCAGCAAAAATGGTACTATAGGGTGAATTTTTGGAAAACGGTTTTTTTGCTCCAAAACACTTCTTCATATGTGAATTATCATTCCTGATAGTTTGAACGTATTCTAAGGTGCTGGGGGTGGTTAAATACCACTATATGTACAAGGGTGTCCAGATTGGCAATTGCTGTCAGCTTACTTCTGCATTATAGTTATTTATAAGTCCTCTGCCATGCCCTCGGCCTCTTCTTGGCCTGTGGCATTGCTCCTGGCGAGTGTGCTGAGGTAGCTCAAGCTGTTGGGAGAAGTCGAATGTGATGTGGGTAGAAGATGCCTGTGTATCTGTATCCGTTGTTTGGCTTAGCTCATTCCTGGCATCACTAATTGATTTGTTGTAGTACTGCTGTTCATCATCAGCCTCCTGCATGTGAGCTGAAAGTTGCTCTATGGCCAGGCGGGTGGTCTCCTCTGTCTTTGCATGCCTGACATTCACACGTAGCTGCTCACAGCGTGCGCAAACATCAGATCTCTGCTTCATGATGCATATATCTGGAGTATTAGCTTTCCAAAGCCGTTTGAACGTGGTCAGACTAAAAGGATGCGCACCTTCAGAATCACAGTATAGACAATGAATTTCTTTCTTTGTACAACTAGCAGGAAGATATGTGGGCGCCTTTGCTGCGCGTCCCCTGGGTGCTGCTGGTTGTGGCATTCCGTAACGAGATGCATAGTTTTTGATTAACTGCACAACATTGTCAGCCACTGCAGTAGGTAAGATGTTGGGCGGGGGGTTGCCCTTACTCTTGCTGCTCTGTGGCGTTGTAAGTAGATGTTCAGCGTCCTCTTGTAATTTACGTAGTAGAGTATGCGACAATCCAGGTGCATCTTGGAACACTTCACGGCAGACGACAACACCAAGCATTGCATATGTGAACGAAGATTTGCGAGAACTCGCAGTTGCAGCTCCAGCGCTGGGGCTAGATATTTTCATTATCGCTGCAAGTTCGCCCAGCACGTACCGCTTCAGTTCACTCCTCTTCATTGCTCTCATGTTACATACCAGTTCCTCGAGCTGGTCCGGAGGTAGCTTGGTCCAATGATTCACTTTGCATTTGCAACCGATGTCCAGTGCGTCGCTTATCATCGCCGCTGCCGCTCCACTTGCTGCTCTCGTTCTATTGCTAGTGGTATCCTCTGCATCGCTGAAATACTCGTCATCGCTGCTCTGCGACTCCAGCGGTAAACAGGTCCGCTTTTCTGCAGGTGTGTCCGAATCTGAGTCGTCTGAGCCAGACGATTCGGCGATCGTATCACTGCTGTTTAGGCCGTAAAAACTTTCGTCATGTTCCCGTAGCACAGCGAGGTCGTCAACGCTCGCACCACAAATTTCTAGGCTTCGTCTTCTACTCGTGCATGCCATGACACTCTGTGGCTTCTCTACTTTCAGTACGCGTCTTGCATGCACTCACACTTGTTGAAAGATGAAGGTGCGCCACTTGATACCTTGTCAAGATGAAAACAAAATCTTGAAGCGATCCTCATCATGGAGACAACTCGTAAAAAGTACAAAATCACCTCAACTCAAAAAGATTTTTTTCAATTCCGAACTTCAGACTCCCATTCTGAACAATTTCCGTAATTTTCTATAGTACCTTTTTTGCTGGCCGCGGCTCACATATACTGTCCTATTGAGCGTTGAGAATGAGTGAGAATCGTTACCTTTCGTACACGTAAACTAGTCAATTTTGGGAAATCGTTATATATGCGCCTCATTAGAATAATGGCTTTTACAGTAGTTCATATTAGGCAGTATAGATTACATATTAGGCAGTATAGATTACAGATTGGAATGGAAGTCTGGTATATTAGTAGCATACTGGTATTGTTATCCAACACTGCTACCAGACACCTTCCCCGAACACTGCTTTCTTAGGGTGACGTCTTGGTCTCTGTCTGTGTGTGTGTGTGTGTGTGTGTGTGTGTGTGTGTGTGTGTGTGTGTGTGTGTGTGTGTGTGTGTGTGTGAAAAAAAGAAGACCAAAAAGTAGGGATTCACTGGCCAGAAAAAGCCACTTCATAGCTGTGTGGTGTAGACCAGGCTGAATAGTGGCGGTCAATTCTTCAGCCTTGCAAGCTGTTGAATGGTGCAATCCCAGCACAAGCTGCTAGTGCTTCTGCTGTAGCATCGCTATCATCGCCTCCGGCGATGGGCATCCAATGGTCCAATGGTGTGTGTGTGTCTGTCTGTCTGTCTGTCTGTCTCTCTCTCTGTCTCTCTCTCTCTCTCTCTCTCTCTCTCTCTCTCTCTCTCTCTCTCTCTCTCTCTCTCTCTCTCTCTCTCGTTTTCTGTTTTCGTTGTCCCTCTACAGCCCAAGGAGCAGGTGATCCACATTTTGTGACATTTGACGGTGCAGCTTTCACCTTCAATGGTCTTGGTGACTATCTTTTGAGTGAAGCTTACGATGCCTCCAGTAACACTTCGGTTGTTATTCAGATCCGAACCATTCTAGTACCCAACTCCAAAGCAACAAGCATAGCTTCAGTTGCCCTGGCCCTGTATCGTGGTACCTGGGAAAGTAAGTGTTCATGCTCCACCCGCGTCACCAGTCATGATGTCCCGTGCAGACGCGTGCGCTGGTGCCCTTGAAGGTGGGGTTCGGGGGCCCTCCCCCAGGAAAATTTTCAAAAAATGAAGCAAAATCCTGCATTTTGAGCGAAAAAAGGGGGGTTCCGGGCACCCAGGAACCCATACGGGGCACGCGCCTGCCGTGCATGTGCAGAACTGTGTAACTCGACCAATCCTGTACTGTAGAAATCCCTCTCCATACTGTACTCCATACTGCAACGATGATGAGATTCCGATGACATAGTGCTGGTACACACGCCTCTTTTACCGGCAAACAGAATACAATCCACGGTGCCCGGCATGGTGAACCTAAGGATTAGAACACAACTCCAAAAATGAAAACAATTGTATAACATACTCATAGTGATGTCATTCATATATAATTCTTATGTCATTGTGATGTCATGATCGTGTGCTGTGCTGTCACTGTGCGATGCATGGTGGCATTCAGTACTCTGCATGTTGCTGTTTGCTAGCTAGTTTGGTTGGCAGGTGTGCTTATGTTTGATAATGGGTGGCTAGGTTGCCATTATGCGGCTCCGGCGGCTGCTTGAAGGTTATACCTGGCACCCCTATTGCTTTCAAGGTCCATGCAACTCCAGAAAAGTTGCCTACCTGTTGACTGCTGGACTACTTCTAGCTAGAATAGCTCTTTTTGCTAGTATTAGCTGGATCCCGGGATGGATGACTTGATGTGTTGTCCATCTTTTTCCCGCACCTTGTTCTTATGCACTTACTGCGGTGTGGTGAGCGCAACCTTAGGGGGATCGTACTGTTCAAATACACCCGTTGCGTGGTCGTCGTCGTGAGTTTTTGGGAATGGGGACAACCTTGCTTCTCTTTTTTACTTGACTCGTAGTTTTGAGGATTTGGGGATCGTTCTTCGTTGGGCCATTCAGTCGTTAGCCGAAAAGGTTTCCTCTGAATCTCTCTCTCTCTCTCTCTCTCTCTCTCTCTCTCTCTCTCTCTCTCTCTCTCTCTCTCTCTCTCCTCTCTCTCTCTCTCTCTCTCTCTCTCTCTCTCTCTCTCTCCCTCCCTCTCTCTCTCTCTCTCTCTCTCTCTCTCTCTCTCTCTCTCTCTCTCTCTCTCTCTCTCTCTCTCTCTCTCTCTCTCTCTTTCTCCTCTCCCCAGTGGAGACCCGTGGAACCTGTTGCTGGAAGTGAGCAAGTGCATGTATGCGTGTGTGTGTGTGTGTGTGTGCACATGTGTGTGTGTGTGTGTACATGTGTATGTAACTGTGTATGTAACTGTGTGTGTGTATGTGTGTGTGTATGTTGGTGTGCAGGTGGGGAACGAGTAAATCTACTCAACTGCTCGTTGGACTCGATGGCCCGCACCCTGAGCATCATGAGTGGCATGGTGGATATCACCAGCATGGTAATAGCTCATGCCAGTACAACTACAGCGCCGATGATTGTTGATCAGTTCACCGCTGTGCGATACACGACCGGAGCGATCACTGTATCATTCTCTAGTGGTGTGTCTGCCACCATCTCCATCCTGTCTGCGTCGACTTTCTCATTCCTCACAGTACAGGGAACATGTAAGTGACGATTGCGAACTTGAAGCATGACACTTTTAAAAGTAGCAACAAACAAGCCTTGACGACAAACAAGCCTTGATTTCCCTTGTTGTTCTGTAGGTGACAACATGTACATCATGTACAGTATAGCACTCCCCACTCACTCCCCACTCACTCCCCACTCACTCCCCACTCACTCCCCACTCACTCCCCACTCACTCCCCACTCACTCCCCACTCACTCCCCACTCACTCCCCACTCACTCCCCACTCACTCCCCACTCACTCCCCACTCACTCCCCACTCACTCCCCACTCACTCCCCACTCACTCCCCACTCACTCCCCACTCACTCCCCACTCACTCCCCACTCACTCACCACTCACTCACCACTCACTCCCCACTCACTCCCCACTCACTCCCCACTCACTCCCCACTCACTCCCCACTCACTCCCCACTCACTCCCCACTCACTCCCCACTCACTCCCCACTCACCCCCACTCACTCCCCACTCACTCCCCACTCACTCCCCACTCACTCCCCACTCACTCCCCACTCACTTCCCACTCACTCCCCACTCACTAACCTACACATTGTGGCTGTCAAAGCACACTGTCAGTTGTGTTCAAACGGTCTTGAGGGGTATCCGTGATAGTTGCAAGTGATGATGATTGGAAATGATCTAGACTTTCATGCCAGGTTTGAAATTCAAGCATTTCTCCTCGTGTTGTCGCTGTCGTTGTCGTTGTTTTCAAATCTTTATTCTCACGTTGTTGTTGTTGTTGTTGTTGTTGTTGTTGTTGTTGCTGTTGCTGTTGCTGTTGCTGTTGCTGTTGCTGCTGCTGTTGCTGTCCTCGTCCTCGTCCTCGTTGTCGTCGTCCTCGTTGTTGTAATCTTCTGTGTATATGCTGATGTCACGGTTGTGGTTGTTACCACCTTGGCCATCATCGCCACCACCACCACCAATACAACACAACACGCCTTCAGTGAGTCTTGTGTACCGCAATCAGACAAGAGGTTTGCTTGGCCGACTAAACGATAACCCGGCTGATGACTTTACAACAAGAAATGGTACAAGTTTCCCTATGGACATCGCAGAAAGTACATACTATTTGGTTGGGCAAACATGTAAGTATTGTGATCGATATGATTGTATTGCTCACACTGACTATGTGAGTCTGATTTACCGGTTGTAGGCGGCCGTCATGAGTTCCCTCGGGAACGGGCACGATCATTTACTTAAACACTTGTACTTTGCTATGATGATGAAAAGTGGAACTCTTGGTAAATGGGGTGCCTTTCCCGGCTTGTCTGGTATTCCAGCTGTCGACGTACCGATGTTTATCTCTTCGCAAGTCTCTTTGCCTTACCGTGCACAGGATTGTGACTTGCAATGTCAATGTAAATGTGGCTCCTTGTTGCTTGCAAACAGGGCGTCTTTCAGATGAGGAAAGTCTGTTTGGATCGCCGTCCCCATACGATCCTACGCACCAACCGGACTTCTCTGACATGATCACGTTTTCGCCCGCCCTCATGGCAGTCTGTGGTGACAACCGGGCCTGCCTCTTTGACAGCCTCCAAACCAATGACACGGCAGTTGGCATGGCAACGCAACAAACACAAGTCATGCTGATGGAGCAAAGAGCTGTTGAAGGTACTGGTCCTGTCATGTTTCTGTCATGTTTCTGTCATGTTTCTGTCATGTCTCTCAGTCAGCGAGACCCAGTTGTTGACTAGTGACTTTATTCGCTGTACACCGCACACTACTGAGGGGGCAAATAACATGACTCAATTGCTTGGAGAATGGTGTGGACCAGGGAGTGAGAGGTTTTTAATACTCCCTGGTTAGGGATTTCAGGCGGTTTTTTCTGAGCAGCGCTTTGCTCCAACTAACAAGTTTTTCTGAAGCATCTATGTGTAAGGACTGTCCACAGAAAATTTGAACGGAATCCAAGCAGTATTTCCAAAGTTATGAGCATTCAAACATAGCGCACCAACCTTGATGAACACACATACAAATTGGATCTGCAGGATGGCACAAAATGGAATTCCCATACTCCCTAGCAACACCATAGCAACAAATAAACTTCATCCGATCGTGGCCAAACTTGGATCAAGGATGGCCCTGGCTGTGACGAAACGGAACATAAAAGTTTTTTTTCAAAATTCCAAATGACGGCAACAATGGCGTCCTTAGCAACGGCCCTAGCAACAGTATATTTCACGCATAATTCAACATGGTAATAGGTGGAATATGACAGAAATGCGGCAAACACAACATTTAAGTTATATAGTGTGCATGTGGGAAACTAGAGGAGTAGACAGCATGCTCTGATGTCACACAGGGCTCATTTTTCGGCTGCAACGAGTCAGAGACGCACATAAAAATGTCATTAGCCGCACAACGATCATACTAGAGGCTATTGAGTATTGTACACAGAAGCCAGCCAGCGGTGAGTATTTATAAGAGATAAGTTCAGTAAAAAACCAGCCTGGAACAACCACGCACCTGTATGACACACGGAAGATCAAGTCTGGTGCCACCCACAGGGTCAAGACCTGCTATGCCGGGTGCGGGCTCCAAAGCGCCATCATTTGCTGCGCCGGCATCAACATCAACTGTTGCTTCAGCACTGTCATCAACGGCTGGTCCAGCATGGACATGAACTGTTGCAAATGTCCACACCTCAGCACGTACGACTGCTCAGGTGTGGAAATTTGATAACACTGATATAATTTAATTTTCCAAACTTATACAAACTTAGAAGTTGCGACTTCGGCGATAATAGTCATGAAGTTGGTTGCTCCAACGAGGAGCACACGCTTCTTGCCGAACTTGACACTTGGTGCGACGTGCTCCTCGTGTGCTCCGGATGGCAGTCGTGAGTCAGTCAAGTGTCAAGTTCGGCAAGAAGCGTGTGCTCCTCGTTGGAGCAACCAACTTCAAACTTATACAATCCATGCAATTTGCAATCCCTGCAACCCACAATTGTCCTTGCAGTTCAATGTTTCTTTCTTGGACAAGAATCAGACACAAGATACGATTTTTCGTTTAGTGTGTGGTTATCTGCTTTACAATTTGATTTAGTAATTCACTGAGGTCGTCACTTGCCTTGTTCTTCAGCAAAAAAATTCTCCACTGTCTGATACGCCCGATTTTGTTCCTGGCAATTTTCACATCGTCTCGAAATCCTTTCCATCCACGGCTGCAACTAGCAAAATCAAATTATGCTAACTTACTTGGTATACTTTTTGCTTCTCGCCCTTAACGAGAGTTCAACTACTACTAGGCCATTCCTCAACTGCCTGGGACAACACCATGAACACAGAGGAAGGCGGAATCCAATCGTCTTTCTTCTCCACCTCCATACTGTGTAATGGCGTTCAACTTCAAAACAATTTCCGCTACCGATCGCGACCCTTCATGCCGTCTGAAGGAACCTACCTAGACTAAATCGATGCCGTAGAATCTGATTCTGACTGATGCTTGAGTGTGGAACCAAGGCAAACACCTCAAAAGCGACTTTGAAATCTACAAGAATCTATCGAGATGCGTAATATCGGCACGAATTCGCCGTGTGAGGCACCAAACGAAAGCTTGAAACCTACTCTTCAACGGTGCGCCAATAAAAATGGCGATAAACTCACTCTCCCTACCTAAAATCTACGCCGAAGACCCCGCGCTGACATGTGCCATGCCTGGCATTCAAAAAGCATGCATGCGTGTCAAGGTACTTTTGCCCCCGCAGATCACGTGACTGAAATCCCTACCCTGGTTTAAACAGCCCGTTGCCTTCCCTGGTTTGAACAGCCCGTTGCCTTCCCTGGTTTGAACAGCCCGTTGCCTTCCCTGGTTTGAACAGCCCGTTGCCTTCCCTGGTTTGAACAGCCCGTTGCCTTCCCTGGTTTGAACAGCCCGTTGCCTTCCCTGGTTTGAACAGCCCGTTGCCTTCCCTGGTTTAAACAGCCCGTTGCCTTCCCTGGTTTGAACAGCCCGTTGCCTTCCCTGGTTTGAACAGCCCGTTGCCTTCCCTGGTTTGAACAGCCCGTTGCCTTCCCTGGTTTGAACAGCCCGTTGCCTTCCCTGTTTGAACAGCCCGTTGCCTTCCCTGGTTTGAACAGCCCTTTGCCTTCCCTGGTTTGAACAGCCCGTTGCCATGGCTACCAACATATCACGGTGTGCACCTAGCCTAGGTGGATTGAACCGGGAACTAGTCTCCGACGCTGGTAGATGCCTCGTGTGGTCGGGTTTTTTTCACCCTGGGCGATGGCCTGTCGAGTGTCCTGGCTTGTCGACAGCCCTATCACTGCTTACTAGTGCATGGTGTGTACACTGTGATTAGTGTAGAGTTCCTGTTGCTGTTCTTTGCATTGTCCACTCCAACAGCAGCGGCAGTGCCCGACTGGTTGTTCTTTCTCCAACATGAGCATAAGCATGATATTGGACAAGTAGTTACAGTGTCACCTAATGCAAATTTGCACAATCACAGTCTCATTGCATTACGTGCAATCGGCGAATGAGAGAAATGGCTGTTTTCCCCCACTGCGTGCTTTTGTTGCTGTAGCAAACTTTCCACCCGTCATCACTGCGCCAGCCACACTGTCCCTCAGCCTGAATGTAGCTGCGGAGTATGTGTTCAATGTCACTGACTCCACTCCACCTAATGTCACCCGGGAAACGGTTGGTAACATTCTGGTTGCTATGGTAACATCTGATAGCATCACGTATACCCTCAGCGTTACCATATCCGACCCAATGACATCACCTCCCAGCCTACGAATCATCGCCGTGGATTCACTGTCGGCTGCCAGCTCATTTCAACCTCTCATCACTTTCTGCCCGTGTCGTAACAATCAGCCGTGTCTTCCCGTCCGCCAGGGACAGGATGGTGGAGCTGCTCGGAGCATTGTAGCCCTGTGTAACTGCAGTCAAGGTATAGCCGTTGTGTAGTCTTTGTATAGTCATGTGCTGTCTTGTGCTGTTGTACCCCCCTCCCCTGCACACACAGTCACAGTGATGTGTGGTTTTCTGACGTGTTTGGGGAGTGATGTGCCAGGCCACCGGTGAATGACTGGGGGGGGGGGGGGGGGAGAGACAGACAGACAGACAGACAGACAGACAGAGACAGAGAGAGACAGAGAGAGACAGAGAGAGAGACAGAGAGAGAGACAGAGAGAGAGACAGAGAGAGAGACAGAGAGAGAGACAGAGAGAGAGACAGAGAGAGAGACAGAGAGAGACAGAGAGAGACAGAGAGACAGAGACAGAGACAGAGAGAGAGAGAGAGAGAGAGAGAGAGAGAGAGAGAGAGAGAGAGAGAGAGAGAGAGAGAGTTACATTTATAAAGACAGGTAAGTCTAACAAATGACGACTGAGACCTCTACAACAGGGTTTTTACGCCTGAAAGCAGGTGCATGATTTAACAAGCAGGTTGTCAGTCTAGATTTTATGCGCAGATGGAGAAAAGTGCGCACTAATTTTTGTAATGAGATGAAAAGCAGAAATAATAAGAAAAGATGAAATGAAAGCCTGCTCACAACCCCGCCCAGCCTTGCGAACTGGGTATGGTGGATTAAGAACCCGGTTTAACGCTCGAGCAAGCGCTCTCCATGTTTCAGTCAACTCGTCACTCAGTTCACACCAGCCAACACGGTTCAATCCAGCAATGGGATTAATCAATACATGCAATAAGAATAAACACAAGGAAAACGGTTCGGGATAATAAATTAGGACACTCAGGATCTGGCCGCCATTCTCGGGCTCTCTCTCTAGTCTCCTCGACCTTGCGCCAGGATCCGTCCATATGTACAAGCACTACAACAAGTATCACGTGCGACCTACGTCGCTGGTAGACTGCATGGTACTACCCAGCGCTAGGGATAGGGCATGCCAAGTATGTGGCGAATGCGTACAGAAGGAACACAGTGCAGGTAGGTCTAGGATGCTTCTAGCATACGAGTATCAGCAGATTACTGAAAGCGCATCAATGACAGAGACAAAACATACATTACAACAAGAGTCATGCAACTATCAGCCATAGTTCAGTGGGACTACCACATTTCCTCCCTTCTTAGAAAAGACCAGCGGTCTACTGATAACGACTTGGCTTTCGAGTCGTACGCTGCGGACGGCCAGCAGCTGGCGGAACAGTACTAGGTGTTGCGGCCGTTGGACTGCCGGGAGCTGATGGAACTGTGGAATCTAGCGGAGTAGCTGTTGCTACTACCTCCGTCGGATCCACTTGCAGACGGTCAAGATGACGGCGGAAAGTCACTCCCTCTTCGGTCGTAATGACTGCATCATGTGGTGTTGCTGTGACGATGGTAGCTTTCTCAGTTGAGCCAGAGGGTTGCTTGACAAACACTGCTTGTCCAGGCACCAAAGTGCGGGATTTTGCTTGGTGAGCTGCGTCGAAAGTCACCTTGGATGCTGCCTTGTGCTGAGCATCGCGTTCACGCACTTCCTCGTCTATCTCGCCGTCATCTTCGGCAGTAGCCATGTTATCTACTGGCTGAAGCTGCCTGAGTGGAGTACGATAACCTCCTCGTAGTAGGAGATCTCCCGGCGGTTTGCCGGTAGTGGTGTTGATAGCTGATCGAACAGCTTTGAGCGCCACACGAAGAGCGTCGTCTGCTCGTGGCATGCCGGATTTCCGCATATGTTGCTTCAATGTCCGGTGGAGACGCTCAACAGGGTTCTGACGTGGTGTGTAAGGCACAGTGCGTTCGTGGCTGATGCCCCACGATTCAAGCTGGTTGCGGAACTCGTCGCTGCAGAACTGTGCACCGTTGTCGGAGATGACGTGCCGTGGCATGCCGAACAGCGTGAAGATCTGCTCCAGCGCCTTGATGATGTCCCTGGTCTTCTCAGCTGGTAAGCGGACAACTGCTGGATACCGACTGTACAAGTCCAGAAGGCTGAAGAAGGCGCTTTGCTGGTAATAAAACACATCAATAGCGACGGTGTGCCAGGCATGTGGAGGTAGGTCGCGTGGTTTCAGCGGTACTGGTCGTATAGCTGCTTCTGTCGCACATGGTGTACAGCTGGCTAGGAAATGTCGAGTTGCCGTGTTCCAACCGGGCCACCACACAGTCTCCTTGAGTTGAGCCAGTGTCCTGTCTCGACCAAGGTGTCCCTCGTGAGCCAGGTTCAGTACGTGTTGCGCTGCCGATGCTGGAATCACCACTCTTTCCCCTCTCAGAATGAGAAAGTCCGATGAGTTCGGAAAGGGCCACACGCTGAGTTCCGGACTAAGGGCTTGGTACGGTGCGAGCTCTGTCGCCGACGGCCATTTACCCGATCGCAGCGCATCTCGCACTGAGCACAGAGTGGAGTCACGCGCTGTTTCTCTGGCAATCAACTGGCGATGTGCTGAAACACCGTCTGCCACGGTGACAGCATGGACGAGAAGGAAACTCGGGTCAGCATCTTCAGCCGGCAGCCTGGACAATGCGTCAGCAATGTGATTCAACTTGCCGGGGCGATATTGCACGGTTAGGGTCAAGTCTTGCACTTTCAACACCAGGCGCTGTACTCGGAGACTAGCTGAGGCTAGCTTGTACGACGGCATAAATACGTGAACCAGTGGCTTGTGGTCAGTGATAATGGTCACAGGCATGCCGGTGATGAAGCTGCGGAAACGATTAGAGCCCCACGCGACCGCCAGTGCCTCTCGCTCGATGGTTGCATAGCGTGACTCTGCATCTGACAACTTTCTGCCTGCGTAATAGACAGGTCGCCACTCTTGACCATCTGTTTGCGACTGCTGTAGGAGTACTGCTCCAAGGCCATGGCCAGACGCGTCAACTTCGATGCGGGTCGGCAGCGTTGGGTCAAATAGCGCCAGAATAGGTGCACTAGTAATCAGACTGCGTATCTTCTCAGCTGCGGTGTGGCAAGCCGATGTCCAATTCCACTCGCCAGACAATAGTGCTGTCATCGGAGCGACAACCGAGGCAATGTTAGGAATAAACTTTGCCACGTAGGTTGCTAAGCCCAGAAATGCTCGGAGTTCGGCCACATTGGTGGGATCCGACATCTGACTGAGTGACTCAACCTTCGATGGACCTGGCGAAATGCCCTTCGCCGAGACGTGATGTCCCAGAAACTGCAGCTCTGAGACCTGGAAGACGCACTTCTTGTCATTCAGGGTGACATTGTACTCCTTGAGAGCCGTCAGGACTGCTGCCTTGCGTCGATCATGCTCTTCCAATGATGGAGCATAAATCAGAATGTCGTCTAGGTAGATGACTACCCCTTCACATCCTGCCAGAATTTGCTCCATCTTACGTTGAAATAATTCAGGGCCGCTGGACACGCCGAACGGTAGACGACAGAAACGGAAGTACCCCAAGGGTGAGGCGACCACGAAGGCATGGCGACATTCAGGTGAGATCTCGAGCTGAGAATACCCGGACTTCAGGTCAAGCTTCGAGAACATCTGTGCGCCTGACAGTTGAGATAGAAGCTCATCAGCTGTTGGGAGTTGCACACCCGGTCGCCTTACCGCTGCGTTGACTTGTCGTAAATCTACGCACCAGCGCATGGTTTTGTCGGGTTTCGGTGTGGCTACCAGTGGCGAAACAAAGTCCTGAGCCGTTACTTCCTCCACCATCTCGACCACTCCTTGTTCTAGCCATGCATCTAGTTGTTGGCGTAGCGAGGTGAGCAGTGCCGGTGCTACCCGTCGAGATGACTGTTGTGACGGAGGGTGATCCGGATCGAGAGCGATTGTAATCGGGCCGCGCATAGCAGGGAGTGACGTTAGGCCCTCGGCACAGGCTGGGATTTCAACTGCTGAAATCGGCAATGCCAGAAGACCTAAACGGATGGAGGCCTGCTCTCCCAGTAATGCTGGCACAGTGCATTGTGCGTCATCGACTACAAAGATAGTCTCAGTCGTTTCGCGGCCCTGATAGCTCAGGTTACCCTCAAACACGCCCACAGCTGTTATGCGTTGCGTCCCCACTGGCTGGAGTGGGCATGGCGGCGGTAACAGGACGTACCCCGATGGGAGTAATGACTTAGGGATGATGGAAACCATGCTGGCAGAGTCCACTCTTAGCGACAAGGTGTGTCGGCAGTCCAATGTTACCTGCCTCAGAGGTAGAGTGAAACCGGTCTTCCCTGCCTGTACCCCGAATGTTTCATAGGCCTCTGGTGGCTGGGCGGACTGTACGGCTGGTGATGCTGCACCAGTTCGGAGTGACGAAACGGCTGGTGCTGATCGGTTGTGTTGCCTGGATGACGTGCTCTGCGACTGGGTCTGGGCACTGCGGTCCACTCCACCAGATCCGGCACGGCACACCGATGCAAAATGTCCCTTACGCCCACACTGGGCACAGAACATACGCGCTGCTGGGCAGTTCGGCTTGCCTGGAGCGTGGGTCTCTCCACAATATCCACAGCCTGATGCTGGCAATGGTGCATGTCCAGGTTGACGCGTAGCTGCATAGCTGACCTCTGGCACTGGTGCTTCTTTGGCACCCTCTTCAGCTAATACCACTGCCTGCGCCTTGGCTGCGGCGGAGCTCAAGTCCTGCGCATCGTGCTCCAAGACACTCTTTCGGGCACTGGCAGAGCTGAGCCCCCGTGCAAACAGGTGGACTCCCACAACTCCCAGTAGTTCATCGGCAGTACGAGTGCTGGTCAGGTTGCAAACCCTCATGTCTTTTTGCACCCGCAGCCGAAAGGCCTGTACAGTCTCCCCAGGACGTTGCTCGACTGCAAACAATTCCGCCAAACGGGACGCTGCGCTCTGTTTCGAGCCGAAATATTCTTGGAACAATTTGATAAGATCGTTGTAGGGATTAGTTGCCGTAGTTGGCACTGTCGGGTAGCTCTGCCATAAGTAGTGACTTGCTGACTCGCCTAAATTGGCAGCTGCTGCCAAATACTGCTTCGCCTGATCCTTCACTTCGTGGAGTGCAAAGCCAATCTCCAACTGACTACGCCAAGTAAGGAAATGGTCGTTTCCCAGCTCGTGGTCCAGGTCAAGGCGGACGCCGACTTTTACTTTTTCTGCCATTTCCCACGTGCGTGGTGGAAACTACAAACTTCAAGTTCAACGAGTGACTTACTAAGAAAAGAATCCTGTTCACTGCGCCAATGTTTCAGTCAACTCGTCACTCAGTTCACACCAGCCAACACGGTTCAATCCAGCAATGGGATTAATCAATACATGCAATAAGAATAAACACAAGGAAAACGGTTCGGGATAATAAATTAGGACACTCAGGATCTGGCCGCCATTCTCGGGCTCTCTCTCTAGTCTCCTCGACCTTGCGCCAGGATCCGTCCATATGTACAAGCACTACAACAAGTATCACGTGCGACCTACGTCGCTGGTAGACTGCATGGTACTACCCAGCGCTAGGGATAGGGCATGCCAAGTATGTGGCGAATGCGTACAGAAGGAACACAGTGCAGGTAGGTCTAGGATGCTTCTAGCATACGAGTATCAGCAGATTACTGAAAGCGCATCAATGACAGAGACAAAACATACATTACAACAAGAGTCATGCAACTATCAGCCATAGTTCAGTGGGACTACCACACTCCACTCAAGGTGTTCACAGCAACTGATAGGAACTCATATGGGGGAAATTATAGAAAAGAAATAATAAGATAAAGAGAATAAATTTCAACGCACCTCGATAAACGGAGCCCCACATACAGTACCTCAGAAAAGTGGATCTTGAGAGAGAGAGAGAGAGAGAGAGAGAGAGAGAGAGAGAGAGAGAGAGAGAGAGAGAGAGAGAGAGAGAGAGAGAGAGAGAGAGAGAGAGAGAGAGAGAGAGAGAGAGAGAGAGAGAGAGGGAGGAAGAGAGTGAGGTAGAGAGTGAGGTAGAGAGTGAGAGAGAGAGTGAAAGAGAGAGAGAGAGTTGGTGTCTAGGACTGCACTGCCGTGCAGTATCTATGACAGCTGCCTGTATTATGTTCTAGTGGCATTGATGCTCCAAAGAAGTAGTAACAATGAGTTTGCTCTTGGTCTGTATTGTCATATTCATTTGTTTCCATTTGTGTTCTTTCTGCCGTTTGTCACCAGCCTACGATGGTCGTTATTGTGAACAAGATCGTAATGGCTGTTCGGGTGTATCTCACGACTGTGCAACCGGTGTGGAATGTAGAGACCAAGACGCACCAGCTAGTGGGTATACATGTGGACCTTGTCCGCCGGCCTCTACAGGAGATGGCAGAGTTTGTCAACGTAGGTGATGATGTCATGATGATGTCACTGTGATGTCATAATGTCATATTCGTGCATGGGTTCAACCCCGTTGTACCATTGGGTGCGCATTTGTATGTGTGTGTGTGTGTGTGTGTGTGTGTGTGTTTGTGTGTGTGCGTTTGTATGTGTGTGTGGGGGGGGGGGTGCATGTCTGTGTGCGTGTGCACGTGTGTGCATGTGTCGCCATCACACCGACTAACTGTTGCTATATTCATAGCCATAGTCACACCATGATCTCATCATTATGTTGCCTGTTTACTCTGTTTTGATGATGGTGTGTGTGTGTGCGTATGTGTCTGTCTGTCTATGTGTGTGTGCGTACGTGTGTGTGTGTGTGTGTGTGTGTGTGTGTGTGTGTGTGTGTGTGTGTGTGTGTGCATGCATGTGCATGCGTGTGTGTACGTGTGTGTGTGTTTATGTCCATGGCGTACTTCTGTTTTAGCGATACCAGTGACATCGACTATGCTTCCAACAGGTACTGGTATGGGATCGGAGTTTCTTATTTCTCTTAGAGTGCTGTTGGTTGTGTCAGTGAAGTGCGTTTTTCACCAATGTGCATGTGATTGATCACATCAAGAGTACATAACCCCCTTCCCCACCCCCCACCCCGCCCATAGTGTGCAACGCCTGATCCAGCGCTGCATAGGGTCCTAGTCGAGCGGATCTTTGCGTCATAATAGCGTACACATCTGAGGGGAACCCGGGGAGTCGCGGGTCCTCTCGGATCAAAAACAACGATGCCCTGCCTCGCGACCGGCCTTGCTCTGGTGTGGAGTGTACGCATGACATCAGAAGATCCGATTACGCTCGACCAAGACCCTATGCCAGGGATCGATTTATCCGGGTTCGCATCGCAGTTTGCGAATCAAAATTCACTGGCTGCGATTCGCTTTTCGTTTTTTATCGCCCAAAACTGCGATGCACTACAAAGACCAGTTGTGTGCAGTCTACATGCGACTGTTGTACACACTGCTGACTAGGGAGTAGTATTTTACTACTCCAACCAACTGGCCTGTCCTGCTCAGTCCGCGCGGGTCGCGGACTCGCGGATCGTGCTCTTTCGATTTCGGACACTGCACTAGCACTGGTCGTACATGACTGCAGTCTTCTGAAGTTTTGTACACGGCGGTGACTTTTCCTGATGTTCTCCTTTCTTCTTTCACTGTCAAGCTCAGTTTGTTTCTGTTCGACAAGGCACAGTTGAAGTCGATGGTTCTTAGTCTCATGTAGCCAACATGTCAGTGAATCTGATCAGTGATTCACCGTCCAGAAGAGGGACAAAGAACTGGACGCGCCAGGAATGTCGATTCGTTTCGATGAAGAAAAGGAGAAAAGCGAAAATTCGATGCGCTTTGCACGAAATGTCACGATCCTTTGAGCGCTTTCCTGAGGTTTCTTTGTCGAAGGAATCAGTGGAACTGCCCTGTTGAAAGACATTGTGTTGCGAAGAACGTGGACGCTGAACATGTAACGTGCCCAAGCGAAAACTCTAACGTAAATATTCAGGTCGAACATTCGCTTGGAAAAGCAAATAGCAACTGCAGCTATTGTCCTCTTCTGTACGAAATCCTGCTATCGTACAAGCTATACATGTAAACTTTTGATGAAGGAAAACTGCTAATCAATACTGGGAGTTGCTAGTCAATTGTAAAACTTTGTAGCAGTGACTGCTATGCAAAAAATCAAAGTAAATCGATCCCTGCTATGCAGAGCTGGATCAGGCGTTGCACACTCTGGGGGGGGGTTGTTCGGTCACGAAATCTGGACTCCAAAGAAGACTGTATTTATTTCTGTTCTTCGTAACTGAACGAAAATCTCTAGACTAATAGTATGCACACATCATCGTGCCTTGGCACGGACATACCAACTCTGCTATTGTCCTCTCTCCAGGACCAAAAACCCTACTTTCCAAAGAGACAAAAAAACTCTCTCCTCTCCAAAGTGAAACTGGTACTATAACAAAAGCACAGCTGATAAAGCGAACAGACGTACAGCCAATCAGCAAACCAGTTCCGTCATATGATCCGGCAGGTATTGCATGCCATGCATGTACTAGATTAATGCTACGGTACAGACAATCGCATGTCTAGACAGGTCCTAACAGTGTCTAGTCAGTACTAGCATCATGCTCACATGTGCCGGGTCAGCACACAATACATCGACCTAGCAAACGGTAACCTACGGGATCTACTGGAACATATCCCCCTCTCACACGAGGAGAAAACCACACTAAAAAAACAAAACAATCCGAGTGTGACACAACTAAATAATCATGTCCATCACTGTTACTCATTTCCAACTGGCAAAGGAACGAGATGATGGATGGCACGTTGCAGGATCTTGCCTCCGATCTTGACGTCCACGACGCGCACCTTGTTGTCCTTTCCTGGGAAGGTCTCCATAATGCGACCCAATGGCCACTCTCCGCGCGGAGTGCCGGGACTCATCCACATCACCACGTCACCCACCTTCAAGCTCTTCTTGGCCTGGCGCCAGCACTTCCGGAGGTTCAAGGATGGTAGAAACTCTCTTTTCTATCGCTGCCACACTTCGTCTACTAATCGCTGTACTGCCGCCCATCTCTTCCGCTGATGCTGATGCTCACCAAGCACCGTCACTTCCTTGGCCAGAGGCGCATCCATACGTCCCACAAGGAAATGCTGGGGAGTGAGGGGCTGATCATCCTGAGCATCATCTGAGACTGTAGTCAGCGGACGAGTGTTGATGAGATGCTCTGCTTCAATCAGTGCGGTCAGCAACTCCTCGTCGGTAAGCGAAGCATTAGCGAGTACTGTGGTGATGGCACGCTTAGCAGCTTTCACAACAATTTCGAATACTCCTCCGAAGTGGGGTGCTCGCGGAGGATTGAACCGCCACTCTATTCCTTCATGAGCGAATTTCCTGCTGACTTGCGTGCAATCAATGGCTTCGCTCGCCTCTCGGAGCTCTCGCTCGGCAGCTGTAAAGTTCGTGCCGTTGTCCGACACCATGATGGACGGAGTGCCACGACGCTTGATGAATCTGGAGAATGCCATCAGGAATGCTTCTGTGTCCAAAGAGAAGGCCATCTCCAAGTGGCATGCTCTGGTCTCCAAACAGGTGAAAACGCACATGTCCCGCTTCTGCTGCACTCGACCACGCCCTTGCTTTGTGTAGAACGGTCCTGCGTAATCTACTCCACATCTGGTAAATGGTTTGAGAGAACCACACGTACGATGGTTGGGTAGCGGTCCCATGATCTGCTCCGCAGCCTTACTCATCAGTCGGCTGCATGTAACGCATTGTGCACGTACACTTTTGATCGCTGATGTACCATGTACAATCCAGAATCTCTGTCGTAGGTTGGACAGCAGGTGCTGGGTTCCGACACCATGGCAACAGAGGTCGTCTTCGCGCTGGATGAGTAGCGTAGTGACTCGGTGACGCTGTGGTAGGATCACTGGCTGGCGAACACCAACAGGTAGGTTGACAGCATGCTTCAGTCGTCCGTTGACGACCATGAGAGCAGGGTGTGACGTCGCATCCAGGACCGCGTTGAGCCGGTAGAGAGGGTCAGATGGTGGTAATTCCTCACCTGCCCGTAAGCGCTTAAGCGTGGCTGGGTACGCTGACAGCTGAGCTTGTGCAAACCAATGTCGTTCGGCTCCTGCTACTTCTGCTGCCGTCAGCACCGGTACTGTCACTACTGATCTTGGCTTATGACCGCTTGCTAAACGGACATAGACTAGTGGGGCACTGGTGTTGGCGGTGTCGACGTGGGTTTCCCCCCTCGTGACTGTCGCAGTCTGCCGTCGGGCATTTTGTACGAACCGTAAGCACCAGGCAGTCACCCTGGTAAGACGCGCCCACGTCGAATATGTGGCAGGATCTAGTCGAGATGGCGTCACCTGGCTGACGAATGTCATACATGGCTTCTTCTTCAGCTCACCAGGTAGTGGCGGAGGGGTATCAAGCTCCACAAGCGGCCACTCTGTCTCCGGTCTGGTCAGGAAGTCCGGCTTCTTGAGAAGAGATCGCTCGAGGCTGATCAGCCGCTTCTCTGCCATGGCTCGGTTTGGCGGCAGCTGTGGCTGGTGGTCTGGCCGAATCCAAGGGATGCCTGTCGTGACACGACCATCAGCGATTTTCATCCTGTCAGCCACGAGGTGCTCTGCTTCTATCTCAGCCATCGTCTTGTCAGATTGTGGTTGCATGCCCACCTGGTCATCCTCCCAGAACTTAGCGACCAGTGTATCGAGCAATGGCTCACATACTGCAGATGCGTGCAGCGTGCACTCGGATGTGGCACCCGTTGGCATGTCCACCGGCCCAAAGCAAACCCAGCCGAGTGGTAGACGGCGTGCAATGGGCTCTCCCGCGCGCCCAGTGGCCTCCTCCAGCACTCGGTGTACGTCAATGACATCGATACCAATCAGGATGTCTACCTGCCGCGAGTCGACCTGTGGTAGCGGTAGTTGCTGGAGGTGGGGGAATTGTTGGCGCATCTGATGCCAGTCAACGGCCGGTAGCGGAGCTGTGATGTCGGGCTGGGTCCATGCTTGGAACGCCGTGCTGTAGTCACCATCATGACTGTGGATGGTCAGGTTGACTCTCTGCCGGCGGCCTGTTACTGTCGTTCCGCCTAGGACTGAGGTGGTGAGCTGCTCATCTGGCCCGCTGACACCCAAGCTCTCAGCAACGTCAGCCCTGATATAGCTGGTCGATGATGCCGAGTCGATCAGTGCCACTGCATCATATGTCTGGTCTTGGTGTTGCAGCTTGACTGGCACAGTCATGAATGCAACATGGACCCCGGTGTTAGCAGTGCAGGTGGTTGCTGTGGCCGTCGCTGCTGTGTCGGATGGACGCTGTGGCTTCTCACGTAATCCACCGCCTCGCTGTGGACTGTCCAGTCGATTGCTTTGATTCATGCTGGCTGGCTCTTTGTCCGTCTTCCTGCTGTAGCTCTGCTGTTGTCTCACAATGTGGAGCATGTCATGGTGTTTTCCACCGCACTTAGCACATGGGTTGCTCCTGCACTCAGCAGAACGATGGCCAGCAACGCGCAGGCAGCAGGTACACACATTCAACGGCTTAACGAATTTCCACCGGTCTGCTGTTGACAAGGTGGCAAATGCCCGGCAGTCAGCTAAGCCGTGGCCCTCTCCGCACTTCTTGCATCTGGCCTTTGGCGTCTCATTTCCTGCTGTAGTTGCCAACGTTCTATGTGGTCTATGATCGTGTCGGCTCTGTGACTTCTGCAGCACTGCCGTTGATGTGGGTGTCTTGTGGGTCTCTGCCTGCCTCTCCTCTACCTTCCTCAGCATATGGACCAGATTCAATAGCCAGTCTGCAAAGTTGCAAACATCGCAGTTCCGGTCCTCGTGCAGCTCAAAATACCTCAGCAGGAGGGTCGGTGGTATTTTCTGGGTTGCTGCTAGGTACAGTTCACGGCCGGGAGCAATGCCACACGACTTCATGTTGACCAGGGTACTCCGCAGCTTTAGAGCAAACTTCTTTAGCTTGTCGGTGGCTTTAGCGTTGTCAATCTTGGGCCACGTCAGGATATCTTTCTCGTGACGCTCAAGTTGTCGCTCCTCACCGCCATACCAGGCTTCTATTTCCACCAATGCTGCTTGAAAGGCGCCTGTTCCGTCCATAATGTCCTGGACGAGTTCCTCGGCACTCCCTCCGGCGAGTGACTCTCTCAGTCTCGCCATCTTGTAGTGCTCAGTTGTGTGGGGGTCTGTTCCAACCAAACTCATGAATTTCTGTCTCCAAGGGACATAGTTCACTGGCGCTCCGTCAAACTGCGGTAGCTTCAACGGCTTCAAATGGGATCTGTATGTCCCGGCATGAGGGTAAGCAGCTGGTGACGTATATGGACGTTGTCCATCTGGCTGACTATACTGCGTAGCCAACTGACTCTGTGCAGCTGCTGGTGCACTTTGCTGTACATAATATGGCGTGTAGAAAGTTGCAGGATTCGCAGCTGGTGATGTATATGGACGTCGTCCATCTGGCTGACTACACTGCGTAGCCAACTGACTCTGTGCAGCTGCTGGTGCACTTTGCTGCTGTACATACGGTGAGTAGAAAGTAGTTGCAGGATTCTGGCTGCTGGCTGTGGGTCTGGCTGATTGACCTCTTGCACTCACTACTCTGGCCTGTCCAAGCTGGCTAGGCACTTTCTGCTGGGCTGTGTAGCTACTTGGCTGCACTTGAGATGTCACAGCAGGGTGATACTTCTGGTTAGCTGGTGTCTGATACTGTGGGCCTTGGGGCAGTTGTGGCTTCAGACTAGTTGTGGTGAATGGTGCAAAGCTGGACTGCACAGTGACCGTCTCTCCTGGTCTGTGTTGTGCGTTGTTACTAGTATTAGCCACAGCTACTGGGGCAAAACTGTTACTTTGCAACACAGGATTCACTGCACTATCACCAGACATACCTGCATGTACTTGACTGCTGCTAGCGCTGTCGCTGCTCACTGGACCATCAATGACAATGGACTGTGCATGTGTCACTGTGGATGGCAGTCCGTCACTTCGACCAGCTTCCACTTCCACCGTTCTGGTCTTACTTGGTAGCCAGCTCTGGGGACTTCTTCGTTCCACATCCACAGCACTCAAGCATGGAGGCCGACTACCAGCTGGTGTTTGTCTTGGCTTGGTCGGCTGGATGTCAACTGCGTCCACCACGCTGAAGGCGCGCCCTGCTCTCCCAGACTCTGCGCTGGTAATTTTGAGCTTCTCAAGGAGTTGATGATGGCGCACGAGTGCTTCTGTCGTGAGCCCTTGTCCAACACCTGCGTGGGACAGTCTCCGTGCACTTTCATCTCTCCGACTCCTGCGGCTGCTCGCGGTGGAGCCTTTCTCTGAGAGCTCCAACTCCAGCGCTGCTCTGTCTGCAGCCAATCGCTTGGTCACCAACTCTCTGTTGAGTTCCAATCTCTTTTCGACCGCCTCAGCCTCCAGCTGGACTAATTCCTCAGCAGCTTGCAACTCTCTCTCGCGTATCCTGGCCGCGAGTTCCAGTTCGGCTTCCTTACTGGATTTCTTGGAAACTTGGGAGACACTATCCCACTCTCCATATCGCGAAGGAGGCTTACCCTTCGTCGACCTGACGCTCGTTCTTTTTTCCATCGACTCCGATTACTGCCTCGGACTCGGATCCGGCTCGAAGGACCAGTTGTTCGGTCACGAAATCTGGACTCCAAAGAAGACTGTATTTATTTCTGTTCTTCGTAACTGAACGAAAATCTCTAGACTAATAGTATGCACACATCATCGTGCCTTGGCACGGACATACCAACTCTGCTATTGTCCTCTCTCCAGGACCAAAAACCCTACTTTCCAAAGAGACAAAAAAACTCTCTCCTCTCCAAAGTGAAACTGGTACTATAACAAAAGCACAGCTGATAAAGCGAACAGACGTACAGCCAATCAGCAAACCAGTTCCGTCATATGATCCGGCAGGTATTGCATGCCATGCATGTACTAGATTAATGCTACGGTACAGACAATCGCATGTCTAGACAGGTCCTAACAGTGTCTAGTCAGTACTAGCATCATGCTCACATGTGCCGGGTCAGCACACAATACATCGACCTAGCAAACGGTAACCTACGGGATCTACTGGAACAGGGGTTATGTACGCTTAATCACATCTATAGGATACCACCGCCGGGGGGTATGTAGCAACATGGTGTTGCACCTGAAATCATTCCTAAACTTGAAATGGCCAGTTACATAAGAGTCGACAGGTGGTTTCTTCAAGTATCACAATAGTGGCAGTACCCAGGGGCATCACACACGCTACATGACCAGTGCGACCATGGTCATACCACTTTTCGACAAGGATGGTCTGCCCAGAGCGCATGTAGACCACTATAATGTGCCCTATTGGCCGATAAATCCGATCTTCTTTTCCCCGCCCTCTGCAATTTCAACCTGGACACAGTCCTGCTTATCTTTGTGTATGCTTGCTTGCTTGCCTGCTTGCTTGCTCGTGCGATATTTTATATTCAGCTTCCAGTTAGTAACAGGCTTCATTCTAATTGACGAAATTAGGTTGAGCACTCTTATCTTAGCGCGAACACTTGCCGCTCGCCTTGTGCAACGCTCACTGCTCTTGGAGCATTTCGAGCACTCTTGGCGGGGTTTGCAGCTCTTTATAAAAATGCTTTGCTTCACGGAAACGAATTTCATTGCGAAGAGCTGCGCTTCGGTCCTCTGAGCTGCTCGCCTTGTGCAACGCTCACTGCTCTTGGAGCATTTCGAGCACTCTTGGCGGGGTTTGCAGCTCTTCATAAAAATGCTTTGCTTCACGGAAACGTATTTCATTGCGAAGAGCTGCGCTTCGGTCCTCTGAGCTGTGCTGAGGAGCTTTAACAGAGCGAAACAGGTGCTGTCCACAGATTTGAGTAATTAACAAAATATAAATATCTATCACGTTTGGTTGTTTCCGGTTGTATTTTCTGTGCCTGCTGCTGCTGTTGCTGCTGCTGCTGCTGCTGCTGCTGTTCGTATTTCCGTTTATGCTGCACAGGTGATCTTGGATCTGGGCAAGGAGGTAATGTGCCATCGTTTTTGCTGTACAGAGTGCAACGGAATGATTTTCTAGATCCTCATTGTTTTTCTCACTAATCTCCTTGGAGGACATGTATTTTTACCCAACAATTGACTTGAAGGGTGCAGAAAGCTGCAAGTCTACAGTTGTACGACTGACTGTACGAGTTTCAGACTGAGATAAGGTACTCATAATCATACAGTCAGACCTCACTTATCCGGTCCTCGTTTATCCGGATCCCTCGCCACCCGGAAGAAAATCGCTGGTTACCGATGTGCAGCATATGTTATGCATACAACATAACCGGACCTCGCGATCCGCATACCGGTGCATCATTTTGTGTACAAACTGGTTAAATGTGTACAAAAAGCTTCGTCGTATCCGGTTGCATGTAGCCCTTGGCGGATTATGCCGGCATAATATTTGGCATAATCTTGGTATTTCGTCAAAAAATTATGCTCCGGCATAATAATTATACGGATTCCAACGTGTAAGGTCGGCATAATCTTTCAGTTTAGACAAAAATTATACTTAGGGCATGGCCGCGTGTGTATGCGTGGTTTCTCAATCCTCTATGTACAGCGTGAATACATAGTGGAACCGAGCATAATTCAGCATATTTGTTGGCATAATTGTGGCATAATCAAAAGCATAATTTGACGATTGGCCGAGCATAGTCCGCCAATGGCTAGTTGCATGTGGATTCCAGAAGATAGAATCAGGGAGTTGTACAGGCAAATGAGGTCCTTGACCTGCTGGGTGCATGTGGACAGCACTTAGTTGCATGCACTTGTCAATTTTATCGCTTGTTTTACATACTGTGCACGCTAGTTGTACTGCATAGGACCCGTCTACATGTATGTACGATGTCACTGCTTTTGACATGCCACATGCTGTACATTATGTGTGTTCAGTTATCCGGTTCCCTCGCCTATCCGGATATTTTTGTGGAAAACAGATGTGTGCGGTTAAGCGAGGTCTGACTGTAATCAAAGTGATTCACACTCTCGCATAGTCAGTCAGATTCTACAATCCAGCCCCCGACTTCCTAGATTCTCTAGAGCTTTGCAGAGGTACTACTTTAGTGGGACATGATCTTGAACTCTGCTACTCAAAATGTACAGTAGTGATCTATGAAATTCGCCGGGCGTTGTAAGTCAGTGTCACACCGGACGCTCCGCAAACACCAGACCTACAAACACTCTAGGCTAAGTACTGGTGCAGGGGCTCTGACTTCTTGGTATCCAGCGTACTGAGCCTGCATTTCACTGTGCATGGTCGTAGCTCTATGGACCAGGAGGGATCGACCTGATGAGCACACCCCTTTAGCCCCCCACCCCAGAATAGGGACTTCCCCAGAATAGGGACTCCCCCAGAATACCCCCCCCCCCCCAACACACACACACAAACACCACCACCGCCGCCGCCAGAAAAGGGACTCCCGGTCCCGAAATGAGCGAGCTCAGTCTTATTGCCTGCAGCAGCCATTTATTTCAAAGAATATCTTTGAAGATCTGTGTCTGTCACTACAGACTGTATGTCTGTGTGTGAAGGTGTGCAAGTGTGCATTTGTGTTCTTGAACTGAGCTGCACCCACAAGCCAGAGTACTGACACTTCTGTTGCTGTGCTCCATGCTGGTGATGGTGTATGTAGGATCGTCAAAGGCTTGGATTGCACCTGTCGTTGTCGCCAGTTTGATTGTCGTCGTCTTCTTCATCATCTTTGGCTATGTCCTGCTCCGGTTAGTAGCCATGTGCACGGACTAGTCTCCAACTAGAATGTGTTTTGTACTACTGGGTATGCTACTACGTATTGTATAATGCATTGTGTGTAGTGTATAGTGCATTGTGTGTAGTGTATAGTGTATAGTGTATAGTTCATAGTCAAAGTGCATCATAGTAGTGGATACCAGTAGTGCATAGTAGGTAGTCCATAGTGCCGTATTTTCATGCACCAACGTCCAATCATTCTGCGCGCGCGCTCACCCGCGCGCGTGTGTGTGCGTGTGTGTGTGTGTGTGTGTGTGTGTGTGTGTGTGTGTGTGTGTGTGTATGGGTGTGCCCATATGGTGCAGTGGTATGTGCAGTCGGTTTCCAATCGAGAGGTTGCGGGTTCAATTCCCGACGATTATGGTCGCACACGTCTTTCTTCTCTTTCTCGGACTCTTCCTGACTTTTCTTTCATTCTCCTGGGTGGTTACCAACAGCCAGTGCATGCCGGAGTATGTGGTGCGGTGTGTGTAGAAAAAATGGAAAAATAAAAAATAGGGATTCACTGGCCAGAAAAAGTCACTTCAATCAGCTGTGTGGTGGATACCAGGCTAAAAATAGTGGCGGTCAATTCAGCCTTGCAAGCTGGTGAATGGTGTAATCCCAGCACAAGTTGCTATGTCCAACATAGCTGTTCGCTATCATCGCTTCCGCGATGGGCAGGTCTGAGGTCTGAGGTCTGAGGTATGTGTGTGTGTGTGTGTGTGTGTATGTGTGTGTATGTGTGTACGTGTGTGCGTGTGTGTACTTGCAGTAAGCAAGGCACTGTCACATACGTAGTGGCTAGCGACTTGGACGGGACAGCGGAGAAGAAATCCACGTAAGGCGCATTCACCAGTGCAAGTGCTCAGTACAAGTCATGTCATCTATAAACTGCTATACTGACAGTACCGTGCCGTCTCTCATAAGTACAGTCGAATGTCACTTATCCGACCACTTCGGGAATCAGGCATGTTGGATAACTGAATATGTTGGATAACTGATATCATTTTTTATGTGCATATATGGCTGGATTTCACTGATTTATGTACACGATACCAAAATATATTCATGCATATTCATGAATTGCTCCATGTTCACATACATGTTAGCATACTTGACCACATCTACTTCAAGTAAATGCATATTTAATACACCGTATAATTAGAGACATGTACAAAAAATTTTTTTTTAGAATTTTACTGTTGAGAGTCATAAAATTACCACTCCCGGGCTTGTCGGATAACTGGCGACGGGATAAGTGACATTCGACTGTACAGTGCTGCTTAACCCTTTACCGGCAGCCCCATACTTGAATGCGTCGTAAACGACGCATTCGACATGCATACTAAACCCATGCCTGGTATGACAGGAAGCATCAGCCCACGGGGATTTCCCGTGGCCCTCACACAGCCTAGGTATGATCCTATCCGTAGCTGAAGAGATCTACGCGTGTCCCATTTGATTTCATTGAGAACTGCGCGATCGAAAAATTTACGGAAATACACGCGCGCCGACAATGCCGTCTGCCTCTGTCAAAACGTCGTCAGGTGCATTTCCTCTTGCGCAGTGAGTTCCTTTCGTCCTCAGAGGACTTCTCCGACGAGGACCTAGCAGACCTTAGCTCTGGGACCCACGACAGATAGATAAATACTTCGTTCCAGCCGCCGATGCAAGCAAATTTCAAATTGCGGAGCGGAGCGCACGCCAAGTAAATTCTCACGCAAATATCGGGAGCTCCAGCCGCTGAAGACGATGTCGTTGGATGTAACTGGAAGAATCTGATGGTGCTTATGGTCTGGAAGCCATGGAGAGTGATCCCCGTGTCGACAGTCTTCCAGAGACGGAATTTTAGGCCATCGACTTTCTACGTACCTGAGTGACGGCAGCGCTGCGCGACTTGCGCACGACCTTACGGAGAGCCATCGGACAGCGATTTTGGGGCGATGCTGCTCTCAATTGCGAGCGAGGCACGGCCACTGAAGTCTGTGATGGCTATGGCATTCGTTTCCGCTCTGATGTCGACTTGTTTTGGCAGTTTCATGTCAATGTCGGAATCTGACGATTTGCATTGTGTACAATTTCCATGTTTGGACGTATAGGTGCCAATTTAGTAGCGTATGTGTGTGGTATATGAAAATAATTTTTTCCATCGTCAAGAAGTAGTACCAGACTTCCAAGAAAACATAACTTGCACATACAAAATGTGCCCTCGTTGTGAGTTTTTGGCATCCTCCTCAATGTTATGGATTTCATATACAAAATGCACTTGCCGGTAAAGGGTTAATGAAATCCGGTCGCGTCACTTAAAGGGGAAGTTAAGGCAAAAATTAAAATTTCACCAGTTGTAGTCTTCGGGGTGCTGAATCGAATGGTCTTGGTCCGAGAAAGCTGAGACGCTCCCTTCCTACTTGAATCCCAATCGAACTCGCGCACTTCCACCGAAACTGGGTGACTGCGCCCTACTAGATGGGGATTTGTATGCAAAATGTCACTAAAAGCGCCATTTCGTTCTTATAAAAGCACGGATGACCGCGATTGGCCCATATGTTGTAGTCTTTTGGACGCTGAGTCGACCGGTTTTGGTCCGAAAAGGCTGCGATGCAGCGTTCCTCCTTTATTCCCAATCGAAGATGGTTGAAGAAGCGGTCACGTGCTCCTGGGTGCCCAAATCACCTGGTCACCACGCCAGCAGGCGACAACTTTCACACCAAGGCTCAACTCGAGTTCAACTCGAGTGACAGGACTGCACCCAAAAAAAGGTCAAACAGGCTAGTAAGTTGTACCCAGCAGGCACGGTGACCAGGTGACTGGCGTACGCAGGAGCACGTGACCGCTTGTTCAACCATGTTCGATTGGGAATAAAGGAAGAACGCTGCATCGCAGCCTTTTCGGACCAAAACCAATCGACTCAGCGTCCAAAAGACTCCAACATATGGGCCAATCGCGGTCATCCATGCTTTTATAAGAACGAAATGGCGCTTTTAGTGACATTTTGCATACAAATCCCCATCTAGTAGGGCGCAGTCACCCAGTTTCGGTGGAAGTGCGCGAGTTCGATTGGGATTCAAGTAGGAAGGGAGCGTCTCAGCTTCCTCGGACCACGACCATTCGACTCAGCACCCCACATACTACAACTGGTGAAATTTTAATTTTTGCCTTAACTTCCCCTTTAAGTACACGCCGGGCATTGCGCAGCCGTAGACCTGCCAACACTGGGCTGCGGAATGGTGCAAGGCGCGAACTTGAGCTCAGCGACTGGATTTCATTGAGCAGCACTGTACAAGGTACACTACTGGTGCTGAGTGTCTGTGTTTGTGTCTGTTTGTGTCTGTGTTTGTGTCTGTGTGTGTCTGAGTTTGCATGCTCAATGCCATGTCTATCCTATGCTACATGACTGTACTGTATCTTGCACAGGAAGGTGAAGGGTGAGGTAGTGCCACTGGGTGTCATGAATCCGGCTTACGAGGATGCCACAATGTAAGTATAGGATATTACCCAAGTACGAGGATGTTACCTCCCGAATATCATCCCGACTGCGTAGCAGGAGGGATGATATGAGGGTACGGTAACACCCGAGTACGCGGGTCAATATCCTACTTATCCCAGGTACATCTACGCATTTTAGGGATCAACACAACTGCATCCTGAATACTATTACTTGGAGTACCAAAAGGTAAAGATACCAAAAACAAGATGCTGCCTTTCTTTTCAATCCAGTCAAGGTTTGAGCGTGATGAAGACACGTTGCATTTGTAGTTGGACTAGAGAAGTATGTGTGTGTGCCTGCATTCGTGTGTGCATGCATGTGTGTATGCGTGTGTGTGTGAGTGTGTGTGTGTGTGTGTGTGGGTGTATGTGTGCATGCGTGTGTGCATGTATGTGTGTGTGTGTGTATGTGTGTGCATGTATGTGTGCATGCGTGTGTGCATGCATGTATGTGTGTGCATGTGTGTGTGCATGCGTGTGTGCATGCATGTATGTGTGTGCATGTGTGTGTGCATGCGTGTGTGCATGCATGTATGTGTGTACGTGCGTGTGTGCATACGTGTGTGCATGTTCAGTACCCACAAGAATGGAGTGGCCGCTAGCAACGGAGACGCGGTCAAGAGTGAAGATGATGAGGCAGATGCTGGCCCGGACACACTGGTGAACAAGGGTGCTTTGGAACAGTGAGTCATCACGTTGCCAGCATACACAGGCCCGTAGCAGCCCCATTTAGGTTGGTCCGGCAAGATCCGACTTTGATGCTCCCCTCCCCCCCCCCCCCCCCCATACTCATACATATGCCGGTACATGTACATGACTTTATCTTGCCCGTAAAAGAGGCCGTTACCCCGCCAAAACAAACAAACAAACATGTACATGCATGTAATCGTGACCATGTAGAGTGACATAGGGCGAGAAAAGGAAGAAGGACGTTCTGCATGAGTCAGGAAAAGGGCATCAGCATGTTGTGTCCGTCCAAACAGAACTTGTTGAAGCCTGTGAAGGCATAGCAACAGTATCTAAATGCATGTGATAAAAGAACCAAAATGTACCTTTGGAGGAGGAGAAAGTGTATTGCAATGGACTATCTTTGGTACAAACCCTATCTAGAAAGAATTGGAGGAAGAAAAGAATCCGAACACATTTCCGGAAGTACAGAGTAGGAACATTCACGGGCATGACTGTCCTCATGTAGCAGGGTCATCATGATTCCTGATGACATGTACAATGTACAATGTAGGTCTACTACCGGCACCAAGAGTCCATAACACTTGCCGGCACTACTATGTAATACCTCTATACTACTTATTGCACACATCATCATCATCATGGCCAACCACATCGGCACATCGCCCCTACTCCCCTTTGTCTTGTTGTCCAGTGTCATTTCAGTTGTCCTCTTCCCCTGATTATTAGTAGGGCTGTGTTTTTTAGTAAAAAATAAATAAATAAAATGGATGGACATCCTGAGCTGCTCGCATGGGTGAGCTCTCCCCCCCTTTTTTTTTTTTTTTTTTGGCCGAATATTGGTCCGGCAGCTGCCGGACCTGCCGGACCGCCTGCTACGGCCCTGATACACATACATAAACAAAGGCACAGACACAGACACACACACACAGACTGGCCCATCACTGCAGGACTGTATCATGTGTATAACTGGAGTACATACAACACTACCACATTGTACCACATTGTACCACATTGTACAGCTCCAATAACTTACTGTCGGCTATTGTGTAGGAATGCATGTGTACAGCACGATACATGTATGTGCAGCACCATACATGGTTTATTTTGCTGTTATTTGCGGCATGCCTCTTAGCTACTCCTGTAACCATTGCAGTTCTATGTAGCGATAGCATGGTGAATGCTGATTCACCAGACCCAGAATTACAAGTGAAAGTCTAAAATTAGGGCTGAAACAATTATACCGATAACTCGCATATCGATCGATAAGAGTGCAATCGATAAAAATCGTTAGTGTTCGAAACGAGTGCTAACAATTTTTTATGCATGCATATCAGTGACAGTATTCTAGCCCTTGGACTCCATCCGATAGTATAATACGAGTGCTATCATGTACTTTCAAGCACAGAAAAATTAATTTGTGGCTTTGAAAAAGATCGGGAGAGAAGATTTTGTCTTTTCGGTTCTTTTTTTAAAAGTCGGAGATGAGAGCAGTTTTCAAACGGTGATAACAAGATTCTTCGCTCTGAAAACAACATGAAATTCTCTAGTCCATGTTGATAAAACCAGCCAGATGTCTACAGATGTCAACAGTGCGATGCCACAAAATTCTAAAGAAGCATGAGCATCTTGGACTTTCTTCGTAAACTGGTGTTCGAGGTACACGAGTAGAGTCGACAAGAATCGATAAAACCAATATATCGATCGTTAATGATATGGTTGATCGTTAGGAGTTAATGAATGATCGTTTCAGCCCTATCTATAATTACTAGGGCTGAAACGATCAACCAATATCATTAACGATGGATAGCCGACCAGCTAGACAGGCAAACCCGCGGCAGAACAAAAACAACTAACCACATACACACTCACACAATATGGCGTCAACACTCAGCACCATTGAGAACTATAAAACCAAGAATAAAGACGCAGACGAGTCCTCGCATTCGACAACAAAGCGGCAGTGTACTGGAATAAGTGACAGTTGTCATGGTGATATCTCACCATCACAACGACTCGCACGGTGAGGAGCCCGTCACTGTGAAGCGGCAAGAGAGGACAGCCATTGGCGACGAGTGGCCCTTGCCTCTCGGAGAATGCCACCCGTCCTTCTACCAGTGCGTGACACCTCCTCACAGCACATCGTGTAGAAAGCACGAATCAGTATCACAGCATTCCCTGGCTGTAGCTAATCCGATTCTGGAATACAGACAAAGTCTGGATAAGACTGATCTACAGAGTAGGCAACGGCTACACAGCCGAGAGAGTAACCTGCTGTCATGCCTTTCTTTGCCCTGGTGTCCTGTCCGGCGCGCTCTTCTGTCAGATGTGATTGTCCTTTGCCACCTTCACCATACCACTTGCAGAATCCAAGCCATTCGCCAAAGTTGTTTAACGCCTTCTTCCACTCAGTACCGATCCGATCGTACACACATTCAGCAACAGTCGTCGCTAACTCCCAAACCATGGCGGTGCGGCCGAATTGTGATAATTATATTACCACTGGACAGAATGCAATGAACGATACCAGGTGATACCAACGAAAGTGAGTGCCTTTGAACCAAGAGTTTATCTACTCTTGTTTGAACATGTTTCAGAGTTCACAATCTTCGAAAGGATAATGAAGGAGGGTGGTGACATCCAAGCGGATGCGGGAAATGTGAAGCGTGAATGTTTCAACGCATTCGCGCTGAAAAACCCAGGTATTGCCCCGTAGAATAACCACACAAACATAAAGCTACCAAACCTAGAGAAGAACAAAAACTTTTTTAAGTCAATACTTAGAACAAAATGAAGGTTTTCGACCACGAGGTGCCGAAGGCCCGGGTCCTTCACCCAAAAAAATGACAACAACACGAGAAGAGGTGGCACTATATGGCCTGTCAATACTGTGACATCCCGTTATGGTGACTCATCCATAGGCTCTTCGTAGCTGATCACGTGCCACGCCGGTACTGGTGACGGGAAGCCGAACCTTTATGGTTACCATGGTTACTGCTGTTGCTGAGAATATAGTTCTTGCAGATGCTTGGGATCTGTGGGTTCTGTGGGTTCTGTGGGTTCTGTGGGTTCTGTGGGTTCTGGCTTGTGATGTTGTGTTTCCGCTGCATGCTCTTTTTGTGTTTCCGCTACATGCTCTTGTTGTGTGTGCTGCTGCTGTGGATGATGCATTGGTTGGTTCTGCTGCAGTGCATTCTCACAGCGACGCTGCACAGCTCGGGCTCGCTTGGGCTTCAGCTGATAATCGTCTCGTGGAGATAATACTAATAGGCGAGGAGACAAAAACCTTAGCTATTATTATTGGTTTTATCGATTCTTGTCGGCTCTACCTGTGTACCTCGAACACCAGTTTTTATGAAGAAATTCCACGATACCTTGGCTACGTTTGAAATTTTTTGGCTCTGCACTGTTGACATCTGTGGACATTTGGCTTGTTTTGTCAACATGCTAGAAAATTTCATGTTGTTTCTAGAACAAAGAATCTTGTCCTCACCATCTGGCAACTGCTCTTATCTCCGACCTCTCCCACAAATGAACCGAAAAGACAAAGTCTTCTCTCCCGATCTCTTTCAAAGCCATAAATCAATTTTACTTCGCTTGAAAGTACATGATTATACTCGTGTTCACTATCGGATGGAGTGCAAGGTCTAGAATACTGTCACTGATATGCATGCATAAAAAATCGTTAGCACTCGTTTTGAGCACTAACGGTTACCGATAGCACTCTTAAATCGATCGATATGCGAGTTATCGGTATAATTGTTTCAGCCCTAAATTAATTACTGTAATGTGGCGTATAAAATCAGATGCTTACGGCCGTATAAGCCGGGGTTCAAACCATGCTTCTATTCAAGTTATGCTTCTATTTAAAAACATGCTTCCACGTCAACATCATCAGTGTACAATGTGCAGTGCATACTGCCACGCATGTACTGTGCAAGTACTGTAAAAGCCATTATTCTAACGAGGCGCATATATAACGATTTACCAAAATTGACTAGTTTACGTGTACCAAAGGTAACGATTCTCACTCATTCTCAACGCTCAATACGACAGTATATGTATCGATTTCTGTATAACGATTTCTATTTTAACGACAGATTTCTCCTTGTTAACTCGTTAGAGTTAGCACTTCGTTATATATATGGCTTTTACAGTACTTGCACGTGTCTTTGCACAGAGCGGCTTCTATTCAAATCGTGCTTCAGTGTCATGGCGCACTTTGAAAAATCAGCTTCTATTCGAGTCATGCTTCTATGCAGGTCATGCTTCTATGCAGGTCATGCTTTTATGCAGGTCATGCTTTTATGCAGGTCATGCTTCTATGCAGGTCATGCTTCTATGCAGGTCATGCTTTTCTACGCGACACTACAGTATTATGTTTCATGTGTGTGTACTTCAAACATTGGTTGATAAGCAGTCGGATTGATGGAGCAATGCGTGTATCATTGCTAGACACACCATGTCCAAGAGTGCTTGTGTATATGGTAGAACATTCCATACATGAAAAAAACAGTCCATACACGGTAGAACATTCCATACATGGTATAACATTCCATACATGGTAGAACATTCCATACATGGAAAACATTCCATACATGGCAGAACATTCCATACACGGTAGAACATTCCGTACACGGTAGAACATTCCATACATGGAAAAACAGTCCATACATGGTAGACCATTCCATACATGGTAGAACATTCCATACATGGAAAAAACAGTCCATACATGGTAGAACATTCCATACATGGAAACATTCCATACATGGCAGAACATTCCATACACGGTAGAACATTCCATACATGGTAGAACATTCCATAAATGGAAAACAGTCCATACATGGTAGAATATTCCATACATGGAAAACAGTCCATACATGGTAGAACATTCCATACATGGAAAACAGTCCATACATGGTAGAACATTCCATATCTGCATGACCTGGCAGTAACCATGGTAACATCACACCTGTTGGTCGTTGTGTTCTCTGTTCTCGGTGCAGGGAAGACACATTCTCAGAGCGTCCTATTGACGTTGCGTCCCCTGATCGGAGGTAAGGATAGCAAGTGGCGAGTGTGTGCCTATGACTGCAACTCTTACCAGCTATTTGTTTCTGGTAACATTCTGCATCGCTGTGTCTCACCGGTAGAGCTCGAAGTGACTGTCGGAATAGAGTACAGTGTCACCTGGCTGTATGCAGTACATGTATGTAATTGTTACAAACCACAAAAGGCAGAAGAGAATAGAGACAGCCGGCTAGGTCATTGTTGTAACGCTGCGTTTCATGCACATAGCGAAGCTAAGGCAATCCTCAGACAACTGATAACCTGTACATCATCTGGGTCCAAATTTATACCCAGGCAGGTAGCTAAAACAGGGCGTGCAAAGTGAGTGAAAGCGCGAAAAATCACGAAAAAGCAGGTGGCATAGCGCGCAAAGGTGGCAAAAGCGCGACATTAGTGTGACATTTCAAGTGATACGTTAGTTAGGGAGACATGGTGCGGATGGTGTCGGTTATTACATGGGAGGTGAGAAAAGGAGGGAGAGAAGGGGGGTGACAGTCAAGTAACACGTTAGTTACAGTGACGGCGGGCAGGCAGGTAGGCCCTGGCCTGGGCCTGGTGGCATGCAGGTGACTAAGTGACGCCAGTGCCGTAGCGCGAGAGGTAGAACTTATTCTGGTGTCTATATTTTGATACTAATTCTGATTTTTTTGTTGAGGAGCGTGGCAGCCACGCTCCTCAACAAAAAATCAGAATTAGTATCAAAATATAGACACCAGAATAAGTTCTACCTCTCGCGCTACGGCACTGGCGTCACTTAGTCACCTGCATGCCGCCGCCGGCACCTGCCTGCCGCCACCAGGCCCAGGCCAGGGCCTACCTGCCTGCCCGCCGTCACTGTAACTAACGTGTTACTTGACTGTCACCCCCCCCCCCCCCTTCTCTCCCTCCTTTTCTCACCTCCCATGTAATAACCGACACCATCCGCACCATGTCTCCCTAACTAACGTATCACTTGAAATGTCACACTAATGTCGCGCTTTTGCCACCTTTGCGCGCTATGCCACCTGCTTTTTCGTGATTTTTCGCGCTTTGACTCACTTTGCGCGCCCTGTTTTAGCTACCTGCCTGGGTATAAATTTGGACCCAGATGATGTACAGGTTATCAGTTGTCTGAGGATTGCCTTAGCTTCGCTATGTGCATGAAACGCAGCGTTACAACAATGACCTAGCCGGCTGTCTATTCTCCGTTCTGCCTTTTGTGGTAATGCTCCATCCTTGTGGTGTTGAGCACTCTAAGCAATCTGGGGACTCTCGCTATTGTGTATGTAATTGTTAAAACAGAGAAGTTCCAGGCTGTCCAATAGAATGCTCGATACCGAAAGGCAGAGCTAGTTCAAACAATAATAGGATGAGAAAGTGTTTTAACTCTGAGTTTCACGCTTAGTGCGTGACGCTCGGAGTAAAACACTTTGTTCATCCTCTAATATTAGTGCTTGTATGTAAATTGTGAATCAAGTTAGTGCCGGTGTGTACGTGTTTTTTTATTTTTTTTATTTTTTATACGAAAGTCCACTATATTCCCGAATATGTGCGAGAAGTGGTGGCGGGGCCAGGCTGCTCTGCCGACCTCAAAGGTCTCGGCGTCTACGCAGACAAAGCGCGCCATAATGCAGTAAAACCATGTAGAGAGGAGGAAGAGGGGAAATGAATAATAGTGAGAAACAAGGACAATGGGTAGATGGTCGTGAGAGAAGCAGAGTGAAAGATAACGTCACATTGTGGTAGGGGGGGGGGGGGGAGGATGCTAGTGAGGCACTGGTCTAAACCGTTTCATAGGGCGTCGGTGGCTGCTTGCCAGTTCAGGTGCAGCAGATACTTGTTGCATTTTTATTTGAATGATTGGAGCTGGCTGGGTTGCGGCCGTGCTGGTAGAATGGTCGCTGGTAGGCTGTTCCACAAGGGAATAATGCAGTCTGGGTAGGAACCCTGGAGGCTGCTACGAATGCGCACGGGCAGCGTTGACTTGAGCTGGAGCGGGTGGCAGTGGGCAGTCTCCGTGGCTAACCTAGTGGATCGACCACCCACTGGGCGGGGATTGGCTGGAGGTGGGAGGATGGGCTTCAGGGGGCTTGTTGTTGGAAGGTAAGACAGCTTGAACGTGAACGAAAGCGCAGCAACCAGTCGGCGGTGTTTCAGGCTGGGGAGCCAGGCGCCTGGGCCAATCACCTTCAGTGCCTTGTGCTGGATTTTGTCCAGTCTGGATGTACCTGACCCCATCCACACCAGGCAGCAGTATTCCATTGTTGGCCGCACGAAGCCTTTGTAGATTGCCGTGCGGCCGCTGGAGTCCAACAGGGGCGCAACCTTTCTCAGGAAGTCAGTGTCTGCTCCAGCGCCGGGTGAGCCGGGTAATCCACCCGGTTGGGCGGCGCTTGCACCCGGTTGAAAAGATAGTACCGGGTCACCTGTGACCCGGTTGGTACTTTACACTTTCGAACTTTGAAAGGACTAACTACATGGCTTTTATGTGTCAGATACTTCTTCTTCTTTCGTAATTTTCTAATTCCTGTCCTCTCTTTTTCTAAATGCGGCTTATCCATTCGCCTTTATATCATTGGGCCTAGTTCCCGTTTATTGTCCGAATTAACCCTTTATTACCGGACTGCAGACTTTCGATCATATATGATCGAAAGTCTGCAGGCCAGTAATATCTTTGTAACTCGATCATTTCTTGTGCGAATTCAACAATCGAAAGGTCTATTTGGTAGCGGAAACTCCAAGCTATCCAATGCAACAATCGCCGAAGAGTTACGATGTCGGAGACCAGAGATATCGCGCGCCGTATTTTCACCTCGGCAAATTCAAATTTTTGATCGATCACTTCGCCATTTTTGGGGAAAATCCCTTTTCTTGTGCTCTTTGAGCGACTAAGCACGTGATATTGACGTAGTCCGCTGAAGTTTGAATCGCCTCGAACAATTTTGAGCGTTCTACGATGAAGGAGAGTGGAATGGCGTTGATGGGACGAATTTGCTTGCATATCAGGCTTGGAGACGACTTTGCTGTGTTACCGCGCTTGATTTGCGGCGACTGGATAATGGAGCTTGGTACCCTGGCGTTGCTCTTGCCAAGAGCTTTCCAACGAGCCCTAGATCGTGAAAATCAAGTGAAGGAGACCAAAGTTATGACCTGGTGAAGTTGGAAATTGTGCTGAAATTCGTAATCCTGGTGCATGCTGTGCAAGTAATCCGGTAATAAAGGGTTAAAATAAACCAACCAACCAGTTAAAGCATGTGACTCGGCTGGTGAGACAGCGCCAGGTACATGTGTACCCGGCTCCAACCCGGTTGAAATGGTTGCGCCAGGTACACGTGTACCCTGTAATCGAACTATGACTTTCTCTTGTATGACTCTGTCTTGTGTAGTTGACATTACTTCTTACCTCTTGTTGCCTGTCATGTGATTCATGTGCGTGATTCATCCGGTGGATGCGGCTTTCTTGTACGCATGCATGTATGCTGTGCAGCTGTTTGCGCTTGCTGTGGTACGCATGCATGCTCCAGTTCCTTTCGGATACACGCTGCTCTCAGCTCTTTTTACAGTAGTTCTGGTGTGTTCCGATGGCGATGGTTTTGTGAACAAAGTTCTCTCTCTTGTTGTACTGTCGTATGTATTAGCACAAACAATAACCTTCCAGTTAGTATAATTACTTGTCCAGACCTGTGTGGTGTTTTGGCCGTGGTATGCCTGAGACCGGTTGTGGGGGTAATTTTCTAACAGCGTGGTGCCGAAACCCGGGAATTGTTTGTGCGTAGACGTCAGTTTTAGTGTATGCCTCGTCGTCGTCGTACGAGACAGAGAGCGAGACAAGGAGAGGTTGAGGCCTTGCCTGTATCGGACAGTGAAGCAGTTGGCGTTGCTTCTGAACCTGAAGCCATGTCTGGCCTGAAGCTGGACGGCTTGATGAAGTCCTTCGGTGGGAAGGCAGGTGACAGCTTTGATGACTTTTGGTTGAAGTACTCTGTGCTGTCGGAGGTGAATGGTTGGGACACGGCTGATAAGCGCATGCAGAGACTGCCTCTGTTTTTGGAAGGAGATGCGCTGCTCGTGTTTAGTAGAATGGAGGCTGCGGATAAGAAGGACGAGGATAAGGTGTCCGCTTTGCTGCAAAAGTCGTTCGGCGTGACAGGAAGTGATGCGTACGAAAAATTTACGTCCCGCCGGTTCCTTTCTGATGAAAGTCCTGACGCGTACGTGTCTGATTTGCAGCGGCTGCTGGCTGCATCAGGTCACAAGCTGACAGGTGATGACGATTCTGTCGTTATTGAGCAGCTGCTGGCTGGTCTCCCTTTTGATTTTGCCAAGGAGATCCGCCTGTCAAGTGCTGGGAAAGACTTACGTGTGTCCGACTGTGTGGAGAAGTTGAGAGCACTGCGCAAGATTGTGTCAGCAAGGCCAGGTATTGCTGGTGCAGTGGTGTCTGGCCCTTCCGGTGGGAAGAAGTCCCATATTGTCTGTCATAAGTGTGGTGAACCTGGGCATATACGGAAACATTGCCCGGAAGGACGTGGCGGTGGCTACGGCGGTGGTGGCGGCGGTGGCTACGGCGGTGGTGGCGGCGGTGGCTACAGCAGCGGTGGCGGCGGCGGATATGGTGGTGGCCAGCAGAAGTCATCAGGGCCACGAAATGTTACATGTTTCTTCTGTGAGCAACCGGGTCATTATCAACAGGACTGTGAGCTCAAAAAGCAATGGCTCCGAGACCAGAAGAGAGGCAAAGGCGTGGCCGGAGCGGCTGTCTCCTAGCTACGGTAACTACCACGCGACCTGGTTTGCCTCGTGTGTTTGTAGACGTGGCTGTACCTGACAGGGATGTGTGGAGGCGCGTGCAAGCCATCATCGATACTGGCTCCTGTCGCACGCTCATTAGCGAAGCACTTGTTGACAGTTTGGGTGTCCCTGTTACTGAGAGTCTGGGCAAAGGAATTGTTGCCTTGGACGGAGAGCAGCTGACTACACGTGGCGTGGTGGAACTGCAGTTCAAGCG